TTTGGGACGAAGGCGGGACCAAACCACCTTCGGTAGTCTTCGGCTTGCAAGATCTCAAAAGGTTATGCGGAATAAATAAAAATTCGCCACGATCGGATACCCGAACACAAAGATACGTTCGTTTGAAGTTTCCACCTAGGTTAGGATTTAAAAAAAAAAAACAGACCTCATGGTGGGGTGCGGTCTGCAAAACCGCCCCCTACCAGTGCGGTTTTCATCGAAAAACACGCTCTCGGGTGGCGGTTTTCGTCTAAACCGCTGGTACGAGTGGCGGTTTTGCAAAAAGGGTACTATTTTTGGAATTTTTCGGAGTTGGATGCTATTTTTGGAATTTATTTTTTAAACCGTGCTACTTTTAGAAAAATCCCTAGACCATAGCTTCCTTATCTGAAAGTTGGACGGTGGCCGATTCCAAGATGTTCAACCTCCTAACTTACTTAATTATTCATGTTTTTCTCGACTGAAATTTGGACTATGAAACTATGACAGCCGTGTCAAACGCACCGAGGTTGACTTTTTGGTTGCTTTTAATTAGAGAGGTTGTTGATTCTGAATCCCGTCCCGTCATTTTTTTTTTCTCCTTCCCCGCAGTCCATAACACTCTCCCCCGCACGAACAAACACAAACCCCTCCTCGGCCGACGCTCAACGCCACCGCCACGTCAGCCACCGCGCCACCGCCGGCCTCCATCGCCGTCCATTCATGGAGATTATGTTGTTCAACAGAGATTTTTCCAGGAGAGATAGTGTGTGCTTACGCAAGTGTCGAACCCTATGAAGTTCAGTTGAGTTGGTTATAAGGAAACAAGGGTAAACCGTAACGGCAAGGTGAAGGTGGAGGTACAGTACTCTATTGTAACACGTTAGGCAATCTCACATCGACAAAGTATAAGAGAGATCCATGGATCATAAGTGGGAAATCGATATTAACTGACAAGACGTATTTTGGAGTGAAATGGAGGAGTTATTGTGAGAATGCCAAAGTTAAACGTGCTCGGTGTGGAATACAACAAGGATGGGTGACCTTATAGGAAGTCACCTATAGAGACAAATAATTTCACCTAGCGAGACAAATAATATTTATGCTTCTAAAGCTTAGTTATAGAGGCCAATACAATAACTGCCTCTAATTATTTGTCTCCATAGGCTTGTTTTTTTAGTGTCACCAGCTTTAATTTTAGGAGGGGAATGTCCAACCGAACATGCAAGATTCCGAAAAGGATAGTTTGGGAAGAGGGAGACAGACAGGGAAATTTCGACCATAAGATACGATGTGAAGGTGTGATCATACAACAAATTCAACGAGCTACAGTGCTACAGAAAGTACGAAAACAGTAAGGGAAAACAATAATGAAATATACACATAAATAAATAATGATTCAAACACCTCTAATCTCGAAACATTTTTACATGGTTTAGGCTTGTAGGTTTAATTTCATGATTGAAAACCTTGGTGATGGGAAGCAGGGCCGGCCAAGAGGGTGTGCAGGCCCGCCCTCCGGCACAGGGCCTATGAATATTAGGAGCCTCCACTCAGATTCGTTAGTTACCGATCCAATATTGCAGGTTGTTTTTTTAGTGTATGATTGATAGATTATGAATATGATGACGAATTTAATAGATAATTTTAGCTATAATAACAATTGAAAATGATCTCATGGAGAATACGAAAATCAGAGAGATAATAGATTATTTTAATTTAAACAATAAAGAAAGATATTACATTTTGAATAATGGTATTATAATCTTTTTAGTTTTATTATTGTTAAAAGTCAATTTGGATAATGTCTCAATTTTAGAATAGGGCCTACACGATCTATTAGATACCCGCACCCACCTCTCGATCAATTTATATTATTGTTATTTCTCCATTCAATTTTTGCTCTATATCCATTTTCTGTTCCCTCCAGATTTACTTTTCTCCCTCCATGCTAGGAGTGAGAACTTGGTCTTGGTTTCTTGGTCAAACAGGAAGTGAGATTGTTTATTCATTTTGAAATCATTTTCTGAACTTATGTACTTTATAATTATTTAATAAATTTATTGAGAAAAAATTAGGGACCACCTGTTAAATTTTCGAACAGGGCCTCCAAATATCATGGAACGGCTCTGATGGGAAGTTGAGATGAGAAGATTCTAATAAAAACTAATCAAAGTCCTCCATTGAATAACAACAGTAACTCAGTAAGTAACCGGCTACGCTAGCTGTTGAATTACTGGACGCAATTCCTCCTTTTATCAACCTGATCATCAAAACCTTTTGGGTAATGTCTATTTTTTATCCAAACATTTTTCATATTCTTTTATCTTATCCAGATCTATCGAAATATTAAGAACTAGTTAAATGTTAACTTCCAGTTAGCAATTTTGTTAGTGATATTGACTTAGCAACATGATACTGACTTGGAAGAGACTCAGGAATGTAAACATTACAATATCTTAGTATTTTAACTAAGAAAAGAGTTACAAAATTATTAACGATAACATAAAAATGATTAATATTTTAATGCATTATGAAAGATTTGGATAACTAATAGATTTTATTACTAACATAGCCTAATTAAGCGAACATCACTCTTAATTGATTGCTAGTTATTATTGTGTTTCATGACTTTCATCACTCTTAATTGACTGTTGTTTTGTTTTCTCTTCAAAAAAGACAATATTGCTCTCGGCAGGTTGGTTGAGCTTTATCATGGTTTCCTTCCTGGATTTAAAGCCTTTGGGCTTTCTCGCCTCATTTGGCCCACCCAGCATGCGCCACCTAACTCTTCACCGTCTATACTCTATACGTAGTGTTTGTAATTTATTAGCTTATAATCCGACTCGTTGGTCGGAGGTAGTGGAGCCGAATATTGGATTATGGTTTATATGTAATAATGTTCTTGGCTCATGTATATTGTGGGAGGGAGGGGCAGCATCTCATTAGTCACTTGTCATTAGTTGATAACGGAATAGGGAATAAGTGACGTGAATTTGTTTAGGTGTTTAGGATAGCAAAGAAGGCTGCAGAAATGAGACCTACTTCGAGTTAATTAAAATGAACATTTAGCAAGTCTTCATTGTATCTACCAAACAGGCGATGACAACACTTCAATTAGAATTGGATAAGAGATTAGCAAGAGTAGGCAAACCCAGTATCGTGGCAAAAGTAATTAGAAGAAAGACTAAACTTTGGAAGTCAAAAGAAAAAAAAAATTATCCAAATTGAGATGAAGACTAAAATGTTGGTGAGAATCCAATTGTACCCTGTTTGCAAAATATATAGACATGGAACACACTTAAAAAGAAGAAAACATGTTATCTATGTTCTTGTGGTTTGTTTATCTTCCTACCATAGTGAGCATTCACAAGAAAAAAATGAACGACAATAAAACTAAGGAACATTGTGGAGCGATGGTGCTATGACATCGTATTTTCTTTTGGAGTGATTGGAAGATGTGTCAAGCGCATACAATCTTTGGCAATAACAACATCAAAATCAATGTTGTCAGTACTTCCGTGTAGTGATGGTCTAGGTGGGGATTCTAGGGTGGTCATCAATTGGGAAGAGGAACTAACACTCTGGATAGCATTATGTGATGAGAATGGTAAAAAATTTGCATGACTTTGTCTTCATTCAAATAAACCATGTCATGATTAATAAAGAATTGTAATGTCAAAAAGAAAATGGACTCTAATCATTACAATATTAATAAAGTACTTCATCAAATGCCTCAAGCTTTCGCTTCTCTATATTCTAATATAATAATTTTTAACGGAATTATATAAGTACTACGTAGAGGATATATTCATAACAACATAAATTACATTCATTGTTCTCTATATCCACATTAGTTTCACTAAATGTAGCTATCTAAGTTGACCATAAAAATAAGCAAATATCACAACCCGGTAAGAAAAAGTTGCATGCAGAGTTAAAGATCTCTATGCACAACCCACGCCGTAGGAATCAGTAGCTTTTTTTCAAACCCAAAAGAGATCTGGAAAATTTCTCATTCTTGGAATTAACATCATGCAAAAGACACCCACGTAAGTAGATGCAAGTCTGCTTAGGCTGAAAGTTGAAGCTGGCAAAAATTAACTGCAAAAAATTATGCATTGATATGATATAAGTTAAAGGTTGTTGGCGTTTCAATTTTCTCCTCGAACCCTCAAAAGTTTACAGATAAGAAAAAAACATTAGCATATACATTCAGGAAGGACCACTAAAAAATAAGAAAACCACTTGCAGAGGAGCGAAAGGGATCGACTCGAGGAAGAGGGTTTTCTTCAAATACCTACCAATGCATATTTTTGTAATTCAAAGAGGAGTAGCTTCATACCAGTAAACTACATGAATGCCAATAGACAGATCAATTCTACTTGAATAGTAATCAAGTAATCAAACTATGCATTTTGTCAGAGGATATACTGTTCATACTATTTCTAAGCAAAAAATAGTTAACTGTGGGAAGAAGGATAATATTGAACTCATGGGGAGTTACTATAACCAACTTATGTATGAGCAGCCATAGGGTGAAACCCTGATGACCTTGGAGCCAACAACTGAATTGAAGGCTTTGAAGAAGACAGTAAAACCCTAAATGCAACTACAGTCAAGCATACTCACGAAGATTTTTTATTTGTCTGAAAGTCGACTACATAGAGAGAAAAATTAAAGCATATCTGAAATGCTCCAAGTAAGTTGAAGGCAAATCATAACTTTAAGATTTGATCATTATGATAGCCTTAAGTATTGATTCTTCTAAGAACTATCAAGCTCAACCCCCACTTATACAACTAATGTACCAATAGTAGTTAGTTTTATAATGACGAAATGTTACAAAGAAAACTACATAAACAACCAATGTAAGTTAATATTGAAACTAACAACTGATAAAACTTAAAAGCTCTCTATTGGTTTAAACGTAGCTCTTAGTAACTACTATGCAATGGAATACAAATGATTTTTAGGCTTTCAATTAGAAAAGTATAGATGACTCGAAAATGAAAACCCAACAACTAAAGGTAGCACACAAAAGCCAAAAATAGGAAGAGAGATAAGGAAAGAGGAGAGAAATAGTAAAACAATGGAAAATCCTGCATAGGAACACCTCGCTAGCTCTAGAGACTCTCTGTCACAGCGAACAACCCTCTAAAAAATCCGAAATCCTAAGACATCAAACCACCCTTCCACGACACTAATGCCATGGCATGCCTATTTTCCAATAGGATTGTACCATTAAACCAAAACTCACCATCATTAACAGTTAATGCAAATACATACATTCCTCAGGTCAATCACATCATTTAAGCACAACTTTTAATTGAAAAGAATAACTGAATATTCAACTAAACGATATAGTATAATGGATACAATATGCTTCCACATAATATAAACATATATTGGTACCATCATTGTATCTTGACCTGCCGTTTGCGATGGGTTACTTTGAAATACAACTGCATTTTAGAGAATAAACACCTATAAGGGCATTACGAAACCAAGCTTAGTCCAAAATCTTCGTATTCCACTTCAAAAGTTTCATTTTCAAAAATTGGAGAGTTTAACATGTCAAATCAAAGACTCATTTGAAAAATCTCAAACCACTATTAATCAATGCAAGATAAAGGCACGTTTCAAATTATGAACTTGCGGCAATAGTCCCAAATATGATCAATTAATGCCCCAACTACCTAATGTTCCGAATAGCTCTGGAGTTGTACTGTTGTTTGCGTTGGTCTACCTTCCAACATAGTCGCATCATGAACTAAAGCAATTAAGAAAAAAATATTTGTATTCCAAATAGAACGACACAATTCAATCTGGTCAGCGCTTTATACATATCGGTTACCCCTGGACCAGTTGCACTTGTTGCCTTTCGATCTTCATAACACAATACAATTGAGGAGAGGAGGCTGCCAATGGAGTGAAGTGTGTTAATTTAGTGAATCACCATACACCTTAGCAAACAGGGTCTTCTTGATATATCATAACAATGGGGTTAGCTACAATCCGTCGGTTGCTCCCTCTGCGCATTCCAATTAGAATCTCTAGCCTAGGTTGTAGAGATTAAGGTTCAGTGAGAACTTTGGGTACATGAGCAGAGTAGGTTCGTGGGGGTGGGGGGGGTAGGAGATAACCCCGCGAGTAGAATGAGAATCTTTGGCAAGGCTGCGATGGGTGCACGATTAGTGGGCAAAATCACAGTTTGGGCCCGTTTAAATCCAAACATGTTTTTACTTCCGTGCTCAAAAAACCGACTGCGCTTGCGAATTCTTAATTTACCCCTCCCAAAATTGCTTTGGATGCAACATATTGAAATGGGATCCTACATTTCTCATTTCACCTTCATATTATGTGTAGATTGTGATGAGTTTAGATGTAGATATGTCATTTCCCTACAAATTCACTAACACACCAAAAAGTGGTGAAATGAGCCACCCTATTAAACTCAATCTCGTATAATGATCTTTGGATTCAATCATGCCAGATTAATAAGAGGTTTAAAACGTAGCGGTTGACCCAACTAAAACGTTAAAAGAACCGGTCACATATAGTTTGCACAAAGATATGATTGCTTCATAGTATTTATGAAATTTAAATGAAGTATTAAACTAAAACTAAAATGATCAAAATATCATGAAAATCGAAGTATCAAAACACCAAATAAGTACTTAGGGGAGATTCAGTGGCGAGGTAATCGTTGAAAAATGCATATGATTTTAAGATTTTAGGTTTGTGTATGTTTTTAATTAAAGAATATATAACAAATATACTTATAGTGTGATTGGTTATGATCATTGTCTTTATTTAAAGTGACCATGTTTCAAATCTCAGTATGTGTCTCTTTTTTATGAATAAATAAAAAGAAATTAGGTGATTGTGAAGACCAAAATAACCTTCCTACTTTCACTCTCGGAAAAGAGAATCAAATTAATATGTGATCTTCTCATAATTGTTTGTTATATATCATACAGTAAATTTTAGTAATTACTAATTAGAAACATAAAAATACCTTAATTGTATCTCTTTCCACATATAATAAAAATATAATTAAATTGTCAGTTTTACGAACATTAATTGTGTTTCTTCATCCCTCTATTCCCAATTTAGAGTTACGAAATATACTCGGACACATCTCACCGATTCAAGAAGCAAACAACATCTCCCGAATCAAACTTTCATTCTTCCTCCCGAAATCAATCGAAACGTGAAGGTCAATTCCCATTAACCTTAATTAAACTACAATATTAAATTGAAAGTATCCCCAACGCGTTGCATCGAACTCCATTACTAATCCGATCGTTTACATTATCGATTTAATTTTTAACCTATGATTTAGACACGATAACCAAATTGACCGATATGATTCGAAGAAGACAAGCAAGTGATGCAACCAAATAATGATTTCGCACTTACAGTTCAGCTGCACAAAAATCACATGGCTACAGTAAAAAATAGATTCGAGCTACCAAAAAATTAGACACAGAGCTTCTTCCTCCTTCCCCCATTTATCCACGATCAACACATGCTGGCGCAACGGTTGCACCCAACAAAATCGGCCCCACCGTTTCTTTTCCCCCGACCTCACTCCTTCCTATCCTCCAAACGGCAAAATCGCATATAAGGCGGAAAAAAGAGCCCAACGCTTCCACCGCCCAAATCCCACCGCCGCCGCCTCGCCGGAAACCATGGCCGCTTCTTGCTCCCTCTTCAACTCTTCCTCATCCGCCGCCGCCGCATCACTTCCCCGCAACCAGACGAGCAGCCAATTCCGCGTCCCCACCTCCGCCCCATGCCCCCGTCGCCGCCGCTGCTCCCCGGCGGTAATCACCTGCACCTCCTCCACACTCGACCCCGCACCTTCCTCCAACTCCGTCAAGCCCCGCCGCCCCGCCGACGAGAACATCCGCGACGAGGCCCGCCGCCACCGCGCCGCCTCCGCCGCCAGCACCTTCTCCGCCAAGTACGTCCCCTTCAACGCCGGCGGTCCGGAATCCGAGGAGTCCTACTCCCTCGACGAGATCGTGTACCGGAGCCGCTCCGGCGGCCTGCTCGACGTCCAGCACGACATGGACGCGCTGAAGAAGTTCGACGGCGCATACTGGCGCGACCTCTTCGACTCCCGCGTCGGGAAGACGAACTGGCCGTACGGCTCCGGGGTCTGGTCCAAGAAGGAGTGGGTGCTCCCCGAGATCCACCCCGACGACATCGTCTCCGCTTTCGAGGGCAATTCCAACCTCTTCTGGGCCGAGCGTTTCGGCAAACACCTGGTGGGCATGGACGATCTGTGGGTGAAGCACTGCGGGATCAGCCACACGGGCAGTTTCAAGGATTTGGGGATGACGGTGCTCGTCAGCCAGGTGAACCGCCTCCGCAAATTGAACCGCCCTATCGTTGGGGTCGGCTGCGCCTCCACCGGCGACACTTCCGCCGCGCTCTCCGCCTACTGCGCTTCCGCGGGGATCCCTTCCATCGTATTCCTCCCGGCCAACAAAATCTCCATGGCGCAGCTGGTCCAGCCCATCGCCAACGGCGCCTTCGTCCTCAGCATCGACACCGATTTCGACGGGTGCATGAAGCTGATCCGCGAGGTGACCTCCGAGCTCCCCATCTACCTCGCCAATTCGCTCAACAGCCTGCGGCTCGAAGGCCAGAAGACCGCCGCCATCGAGATCCTGCAGCAATTCGACTGGGAAGTCCCCGATTGGGTCATCGTTCCAGGGGGAAACTTGGGGAACATCTACGCCTTCTACAAGGGATTCAAAATGTGTCAAGAACTCGGCCTCGTCGACAAGATCCCGCGCCTGGTCTGTGCTCAGGCTGCAAACGCCAACCCGCTCTACCGGCATTTCAAATCCGGGTGGGGGACGGATTTCAAGCCGGTGAAGGCGACCACCACGTTCGCTTCCGCTATTCAGATTGGCGACCCTGTTTCCATAGACAGGGCCGTCTACGCCCTGCAGAGGTCGAATGGGATCGTCGAGGAAGCCACGGAGGAGGAGCTGATGGATGCAATGGCGCTGGCGGATTCCACTGGGATGTTCATTTGCCCCCACACTGGTGTTGCCCTGACTGCGTTGATGAAGCTGAGGAAGAGTGGCGTGATCGGGGCGAGCGATCGGACCGTGGTGGTGAGCACGGCGCATGGGCTGAAGTTCTCGCAGGCGAAGATCGATTACCACTCGAAGGCCATACCGGAGATGGCTTCGCGATTCGCTAACCCGCCGGTGGAAGTGAAGGCTGATTTCGGGTCGGTGATGGATGTGTTGATGAAGCACCTGGGAGATAAAGCTCCCAAGTAGAAAGAGTAAAAAAGGCTCCTGCTTTGTACTACACTACTACTGCCATTGAAGGTAGCTAAAGAGGCGTGCCCTTGTTTGAAGTTTTTTGCAGAAGCTTTTTGGCGGGTAGGATTGTTGTTTGGTTGGTTGTTCTTTTCGCTATTTCTCTTCCAGTACTTGAACTGTACGTGAAATGCAATATATATATGTAAGGGTTTCTTTCCGTTTATATGAACAAAAATAATGAACGGAGGAGATTACCAGCTTCTGTATTCTCTGAGTTCTCTGTCGTGCATACTGCTCATTCCTGTTCTTCATCTCCAGTTTCGACAGCAGCTAAATCAAAGCTTCTTCCATGTCTATACGGTTTCAGCTCCTCGCAAAACCAATAAGCGATAAGGATCTTGGCTACCATCAGCTGCTGAAATTGAACTTGAACAAGATCTCTGACAAGTTAAGTAGAGTTTAGCAAGCATTCTTCAGCAGGCCAAGGACAGAGAGATATAGGACTGCAATGGCCTCTGTTCATTGTCTGCAGAATTCGCATTGATTTTTATATTTTGATATCAATCCATGCTCATAATCTTCACAACATCAGGTTGTAATGATTGCTACACACACACAGCTCGTGAAACTAGAACATGAACTCGATGAGATATAAAAAGAAATCACCATCTTCTTCCTCTACCTGGATTCGATAAACAGTAAATGAGAGGCAAACTGGAAACTGAAGACATTCAGGTTCAGTTGAAAAAAGACGATACCATTCTCTCTTAAGTATTCCATTGACATGTGGTTCGAGAAACAAAAGAAGAAAAAAAACTACAGAGAAACAGTGCGCCGATAGAGTACTGTTTCGTTATCACTCTCATCCTCCTCATCCGATTCTGATACAATCTCATATCTTCCAGGCAATTGCAACTTCCCGCCCATATCGAAAGATGGACCTACAGTCTCTGATTCAAGACAACCATCCTGCAACCTTTCCTCAAACCTCTGGTCGCTACAGTTGAGGAGGCTATCCAGTGAACACCTGATGCCTTTGCTTTTAGCCAGCTGATATCTGGGCTTGATTCTGGACTCCAACCCATAAGTGAAGTATTCAGGGAAATCGATAAGGTCCTTTATTGGCCGGCCCATTTCACTTTTGAAAAAGTAGAAGCTGTTCTTCATGAGTGCAACCCTTGATGCAAGCACCTGTGGACATTTCACAACCATCTTGGCAACATCGTGAGGCGGGATACTCCTCTCCAGAAGAAACTGAGCCGGTTTTAGTATAACCTGTTGACTAAGGCTAACAATCTGAGGCATCTTCTCGATCACTTGAGCAAACCCTTCTGGATCTACCTTGAGCTTCAAGCCAAAGAAATATTGTTGTGAAGATAGCTTAGCTTTCAAAGGCACCCCGAGAATCTGTGGGTACTGTGCTATAACAGAAGCAAGTGCTTCTTTCCTAACCCCGAAACTTATCAAACAATCTACATTGGGCTTCACAGTTTCTTCAAGATTATATCCGAGAATATACGCCCGCTTCTCCAACATCCTAGCTACAATCTTCTTAGGCAAACCCAAAGAAACCATATAATCAACAAACGGCTTGATCACAGTTCCCACTCTCATCCCCAAGAAGTAAGGGTACTGTGTCACCATTGGTCCAATATCTCTTGGACTAACACCAATACTAACAAGAAAAGCAACAGAAGTGCTCATCGTCCCTTCAAGCTTGAACCCCAGAAGCTCTGGATACTTTTGAAGAACAAATCCAATATCCTGCTTTTCAACATCAAGCCCACGGAGAAACTTAACAACAGGCATAAGCTCAACCACAACACTCATGTGCAACACTTGCGGGTAACTCTTCACAAACTCACCGAGTTTCGACCTACTTATCCCAATCTTTTCCAAGTAACCCAATACAGGGATAATGTTCTTCCTAACACTGCAACCTAGCATCAAAGGGTACTCATTGAAATCATCAACAGTCAATCCCAACCTCTGCAAGAACTCGACACGCTCCTTCATAACCTGAACCGTGGAAGGAAGCTCCAGACTCTCCAGCTCATCAGGGATAATCCCCAAACTTTTGAGATAATCACATATAATGACACGATTGACAAGCTTCTCTTTCTTACCCTGAATCACGCCCCAAGTGACTGAAGGCATCTCGTACTCGGGGAATTTGGAAGACTGGGTCGAAAATGACGCGACAGACTGCCAAACCCTCGAAGGGTTTAGCGATTGAGGGTTTTGGCGACATGGGTTTTCTTGGGTATGAAATAAGAACGAAAGAGAGGTGGGTTCTCTGCAAAATTGCGGCGGGGGAGCTCTAGGGTTGCTGAATACCGATAATAATAACTTCCTTCTCCTGAGCAATGACAAACTCATCGTATCTGAAAACCAGAGTTCCTATTTGCACAAACACTGAGAACAATCGGATTCTTCTGTTCTTGCTCACCTTGCGCGAATGCGGAGCAGACGAGTGAAGCTTCGGGTATCTCCTGTTAACCCCGACGGCCGAGTTCTGGCGGTGGATAGACGGAAATGTTTTCTCGGCTGAGGGCTGGGAGCTTCCGGATTAGAAAGGCAAAAAGAACACTGCTGCGCCCGTAAAGCTTCGGGATTTTGGGTGTACAATAATAAACTCTTTGATGAAGCCTTATGAAAATTCCAGGTTGTCAAACCAATGTGCTCGGTGATACAACTGAAATATGTTTTAGCAAGTGAGAAATTATTAACACTAAATCAAATGTAGACATTTATAAATATGTTTCACATAAAGATAATCTCTAAAATTTACATCCGTATCTAAATAAATTACAACATTTCAAACAAAAATGAAAACATTCTCATATTTAATACAAAATTTATGTTAAAGATCCAAAATTTTTACTTGAACCCAACAAATAACATAAGCATCTAAATATGCATATTTGAATTCAACAATATCTTTGGTATTACTGGTATGAACGACATTTCCAACTGATTTTGTAACGGATATCGATTGAACCCAGTTGAACCGACTGTCTGGCTGACATGTCACGGCATAACAACCATGGAAAATACTCAACTATCGAAAAATCTCTTTGTATTTTCTTTCCGTTCTTTGATTAGCTTGTTCACTTGCTTAAAAAAATTCTAAGGCGTTAGATCAACGTGACTTAACAATTTAACAAGCACATATTACATCATTTCTTGGTTAACGATAGAGTTTTGCTTTAGTTGAAGCTGATATCCAACTTCCTAGGTAGGGCACATGGATTGTTTATCAATTTGTGTTCAATGTTTCGTTGTCTAAAAAAAAATTCTAATCGATATTTTGTATAGAAAGTTTTGATACTCAAGTTAGAGTAGTGATGAAAGATAAGCATGTGGGTTTTGAAAAAAAGAACGATAAATTTTTTGATTTAAAACCAAATTGCTTCAAAATGCGAACTCGAAGCATCACCTGCATTTCAAACGATCCAGTCCAACACAAAAACACTACATTGTATGAAGGAAAATGACAGAAGGTAAAAGTTCTTTTCTTTCTACAAACAAAATCAGCTTCACTAGTTCCTCGTTCAAGAATAATCATACAAAGATATGCTCTTGTCGTCGCAGACACTCGCCAGCCGTCCACCACGCACTCCGGTCCCTCCAGGGGGACAAAACGTCACAGCCCAAACCTGGTCAGTGTGGTTGCTCATCGTCTGCAGAGCAGCCCTCATCTTGAGATCCCACAGCCTCACTGTCCTGTCACTCGACCCCGTGGCGATAGCATTACCGTCGGGGCTCGCATCCACGCTCAGCACCCAGCTGGCGTGGCCCGACATGGACGAGACCAGGCTCTTCCCCTCGGCGTCGTACATGTGGATGTGAGCATCGTCGGATGCCGAGAACAGGACACGTGGGTCGACTGGGGAGTACACGAGGGACCGCACGGGCATGGAGTGGCCTTCCAGGTGGTGCATAAACTTCTCCCGGGCCACATCAAAGACGGAGATTGTGCCGTCCATTGAGCCGCACGCAATTGTTCTGCCGTCGGGACTCCAAGCCACCGACAGGACGAACTTCTTGCTGGTGTTCTTATCGGAGGGCTTTGGCACTTCGGGGCGAGGAATTGTCAAGGTAGAAGTCAGCTTCCATGTGGATGTGTCCCATACTTTGATGGAAGCGCTGCCTCCACCTGCAACTGCAAGTTTGGTGCCCTGCGCGTATTGACAATGATTGTTATTAGAAACATCTATCATTCAGTAACAAAAACCAACAGTACAGGACAAAGCATTCATATGGATAGTTACTCTAGCTTCAGCGTGAAGCATTGCCATTTACGTTAAAAAAAAAAAATCCTTTGCTTAGCATACAGTCGATAGGCATGGTCAAGCTGCATATCCACGTGTAATCGAAACGAGTATGAGATGCTTTCATCAAGCCAATTCTAAATCGAAGAATTTTGAACAGCTGATGGATCTACCCAAACCATTCTACAAAAGAGCAATGGCTTCTGCACAAGATTCGTTTTAAGAATGAAATTCAATCTCATTCAGATAATGACTTCACTGTGACGTTTTCCTGGACCAGGGTTTTCTATCATTTTAAAGGAGAGTAACCCTGCTACTGCATAATCATTGAATAAAACACAGAGAGCCACACCTCAAGTGCCTTAACCTTCCAGGCAGGGCAACCCCAATATGGAACTAACCTAGGGAATAGGGCAGATAACCTAGGGGAAAAGGTGCACTTACTGAAAATCCAGAGATCTGGATTTCTGCTTCTTTAGATAGAATTACAGAGGCTAAACTGAAACAATGAAAGGAAAAAGGAATACAGACAAAGCTCAAGGGAAGAGCACAAGAAACCGGAATCAAAGCAATTGGTAGATAATTATTCCTGATCAATCCCAACAGCAAGTGTGAATTCCCTTCTTCCCTTGTAATCTATATACATCGGGGTGATTATTTTTTGTTGATCTCTCTGATATATTATCTATCCTACCATTTTCAGATAAGATTACTGCAAGTTGTTTAGGCACCATTCATGAGGAACCATTCCGGCTGCCATAAAGGGATGAACTTCAAGGGTCTATCCTACCATTCCACTTTCACAGCCACTTCCATCAAATGGAAAGGACCTAACCAAGCAGGTCCTCGTGAATGTTCATTGGACTCAGCCATATGCGGCAGAGAAATGAAGCCGGAGAATGGAGAAATGAGATCATAGATTTGATGATGCAAGTAAAATAGAGGTGAGGATCAAGCTGAACAAAGATCGTTCATAAAGTGCGATAACACAGAGCTGATTCAGGAGTGAAGCAAGAATAGCAAATCACCGTCAGATTAATGACAAAAAGAGCTGATTTGGAAGAGAGCAAGACTTGACTGTTAAAAACCAAGCAACATAGATAGAGGCGAGGATCAAGCTGAACAAAGATCGTTCATAAAGTGCGATAACACAGAGCTGATTCAGGAGTGAAGCAAGAATAGCAAATCACCGTCAGATTAATGACAAAAAGAGCTGATTTGGAAGAGAGCAAGACTTGACTGTTAAAAACCAAGCAACATAGATAACAATCATAAGTAAGCTATATTTCAGGACTTGAAACTGAGACTCAAGTTGAGGTTATGAGTATACCATTATAACTATGGATAGGTAAATTCCTCTTCCCCGCACCTAGATTAAGCCCCAAAAGAAAGAAGCTTTGGGGGCTCTATTGTCTCTTTGTACATACCATAAGTTGCCACAGAGCAAGACTTCACCAAAGAATTTGATTAGGAAAGAAAATCCCACCCTTTAACACTCAAATTCTATCATGTATCAACCTTGGAGAGTATAACCAACTCTGCCTTGCAAACAATCAAATTTCTAAGGCAAACCAAGCTCAAATTCCAGAAACACGAATCAAAAAACAGGTTGGAGGAAGGGGGAGAACTTGATCCTTACCTTGGGATGGAACTGCATTTGCCAGACTTCGGAAGGAGGAGCTTCGAGAGTGGCGATGGTTGCGTTGGTATTGACATCGAAAACTCGAACGAAGCTGTCGAGCGACGCGGAGGCAGCTATGATGCCGGAAGGGTGTGCCGCGACGGAGACGACGCCGAGGCAGTGGCCCGTATTGGTCCCCGCGAGGTTGAGGTCGTCGGACTTCCACAGCTTGACGGTCTCGTCGAGTGAGCCGGTGAGGAGTAGCGCTGGCCGGCTGGAGGTCGCGGGGACCCACGTCGCCGCCCACACCGATTCGTCGTGGGCGCCTTCGACGGATTTTATACCGGCGAGCTTCATGGATTTCGATTTGGTCGTTCGTTCGGTTGGTTATTTCCCGGCGAGAAGGGGAGCGATTGAATGCATAAAACCCTAACCAGAGTGGCGGCAGCGGTTTGACTTGACCCGTCTAGTTTGCCATGTTTGGTAACGGAGTGATTGAAAATTCGGAGTTTCCCGGGTTACCGTTAAAAAGTTGCCTTATTGTTTTCCCTTCGTACTAGGGTCTTCATACCTCGCACACTCAGCATCTAAATTTACCGAACTTCTATCTAACATCCTAATTTTTTTAAAATTTTGTCTTAAACTTATTTAAATAGTCGATTCGACTCCAAAATCTCTAAAAAGGTCGCACCCAATCTCCAAAATACTCTGTCAATTCATCGCCGTAATCCCTAACTTAACTCTGCTCCGCTTGTCGCCGGCAGAATTCTGTCTCCGATTCACTAAATTTAACGCTAGTCAATGCTAATATGTTTTGTCTAGAGGTTTTACAATGAGTTAGAAATTCAGGATGCAACAACCAAGTACGACAAGTCGACAACGTCTAGACTTTGTTTAGATGGAACTAGATATTCAATATCTAAACGAGAAAGTTAAAATCATATACGAAACTCAATCTTTTCAATAACTTGTAAACTTTGTGAACTCTTAAGCAATAATTCTATGAACCTGTTAAATATTTTTCTTATTCTTAAGTGTTAAAGTAAGTTAATAATAATTTGAATTGAATAGAAGTGTTGGAAAACAATGACTTCATTCAAAATTTAGTATAAAATGCTATTTTTGCTTAAACTGTCTAAACACGCTTAAGCGACACCTAAAACTAAATGAACTCTATATTGGACTATCCAAATACTAGCATTACGAGCAACGCTTTCTTGAACCCGTTCACTAAAGGTGTGCAATGGGCGGGTTGGGTGGGTTTTCGTCTCAAATTGACTCACCTGCTTACTAGCGAGTTGATTTTGACCCACAATCCACACACGTTGTTCTGCGGGTCGGGTTGGGTGAGTGACGGATGGGTGCGGTTGGGTCGTGCGTTAACTCGCAAAAGCAATTCTCAAATTAGCCATTAAGAAAGTTGACTATAACATTTATAACAAGTTCATAGCGAATTCGGAAGGCTGTATCAATTTAGACACTTGTCACTTTATCTCAAGTGAATCAATGTAGTATTTGCATAAAAAAAAATTGCTACTCTATCAAACAATTGTATAGAGAAAACTTATGCATTTTGTGATCTTGATACAATTGACAATTTATAGTTTTCATCCCAGTATTTAATTATATTAACAATAATTCGCATTCCAATATCCAATATCCAAGAATGGATATTAAACAACACAAATAATCAATAATAGTAGTCAAAACTATTATTTATTCTCCACCTTTAGAAGTATATGGTCATAATATAGTGTGGTTTGAAAATACGATGAATATTTGATATTATAAGAAACAATATTTTTTCATGTGAAAATAGAATGCAGGTCATTCGGGTGACCCGCAATCCACCCACCACTCACTCACATAAGTGCGAGTGGAAGATTTATCAATTCGCAATCCACCCACATCAATCACCAATTACTTGCATGTCCGGGTATTTATGGGTGGATATTAATCCGCGGATTAACCACCCACACACGTGCCCACTAGTACCTACCGTTCACAACGTGAAGTCGTAAACACATACTCGGTGAATGTTAAGTAGGGTCTCCAAACTTCCATCTTTTTCGCTAATGAGGACCCCGCATCTGCTCTCCTACCAAACCACTTAACAAACAGCGCGAAGAAAGAGAACAAAACCCTAATCCCTGCAAAGCCTAAAACCCTCTGCTGGTTCGTTCAAGCTTCACTGACTTTCAGAGGCCAGTCCTTTCATTTCTCGTTGCGCCTCTAAACCCTGATCGAATTTGAACCGTACCAGTGAGAAAAATCAATCAAACAAACAAATGGTGTGGTTTCAGTGTGATGACTGCGGCGAGGAAGTGAAGAAGCCCAAGCTCTCTAACCACTTCCGCATGTGCTCCGCTTCTAAGGTTTCGAACGCCTGTTCTTCCATTTATCTTCGAAGCCCAGAACTTTGATTCGCAGAATTGAGAATTTTTGTATGCGTAGTCGTAAGCAATTTGTCGGTTCTTCTTGTTGCAGCTGTCGTGTATTGATTGTGGGGTGACTTTCGGCCCTGACACCGTCCAGGGCCACACTCAATGCATCAGTGAGGCGGTATGTTTCTGCTTCTTTTCCCCATTGTTTTCTGGTTCGGAATGCGAGTATGAATTATGGGTCCGCGATTTCTTAATGGCTTTTTTGCCTCCATTTTGTTGATTGGGAGATTAGTGATGTTCAATGGGGATTTGCAGGAAAAGTATGGTCCCAAAGGACAAGGGAAACCGGCTGTAAATGGAGCAACGCCTAAATCCAAGGACTCGAAGCAAAAGCCTGATGTTGATATCAACGTTGGTTTGTCCCTCCGCCCGCCATGGAATTGCAGGTGAGCTGAACTACTTTGCATTAGCGCAGAGTAGATCGATATGTCGTACGAATCACGTTTTTGGGGTGTTTTGATTCTTACTGTAGGCCTTGAGAAATAGATTGTTGTATCTGACTCTGTTTGGGTGGCTAATGTAGAAGTAAGTTTGATAATTCTTTCAACAGAATGTATGCATGATAGTTTTGAGAATATCTATGCATATCCCGGATGACTGGATTATCTCGGTTAAAACTCATGATATCGCACCTTGCTGGCGAAATCATTTAAGATAAAGAGCACGAGAAGAAGCAGACTAATTCCAAGTCAAGTGGACGGCATTCTGCGTCTGTAATAGACGTGTGCGAGTGTAGCTCTTTTGTCCAAAATTTCTTCAGGTGGAACTAGCATATACATGTTTGTCATTGCGCTTTTGTCTTAGGTCTCAATTAACTGATCCATGAAGCACAATTCTGAATGCTGCATGGAGAAATAAAAGTATATCAAGCCGAAATTTTGCTGTTATTTACTAAGTTGTAGCATCTTATTTGCCAGTTGTTCTTCTTTTCTTATAGTCTATGTAATACCAAAGCCACAAGTAAGCAGGCTCTTCTTTTGCATGCTGATGGAAAGAAGCATCGAGCAAAGGCCCGAGCCTTTCATGCTGGCAGGCAACCTAAACAGACTGAAGATGTTGTAAAAGAGAGCACCCCTATTGGTTGCAATGCTACAGGCAATGGATCGGGTGAGAAAGCTGCATCTGATGGTGCAGATACTGATGGAAAACTGGAGGATGGGCTTTTACCATCAGAAAAGAAGAGAAAACTAGATGTGGCAGATACTATTGGTAATGTTAGTGTGAAAAAGGCCAAGGGTGAAACAGACGGTAAATCGAAGAAAGTCGAGCAAAACGGGACTACTACTGATAAGAAGTTAGAATCTGTCAGTCCAGAAGAACATACCGAGAACAAGATAAAGTGGAAGAAGTTGATCAAGGCAGCCCTGAAATCCGTACGTATCTCCCATAGCGGTTTCTAATTGCTGATTGAATCCCTCTCATTTTACTTTAATCTAGCTTAAATTTAAACCACTGCTATTCATATCATTTCAAGTGTCTAAAGTGCTTTTCCTTGATGCTTAGCTTAAATTGCAACATCATACATTATCTTGCTCGTACTTGATTTCAATTATGATGTTTGTGTCACAGAATCCAGACGGAGCTATGAAAATGAAGAAACTGGAGAAACATGTGAAAAAGTTGATCCAGGAATCAGGGAAAGGTGTAGATGAGGATGAACTTGGTAATATTCTTCAGCAGAAGGTATTGTATTTTGTTCTTGTAGCATATGTTTTTTTGCTAATTAGCTGTAACTTCATAATTGAGCCGCTGGAATGTAATTCTAATTGTCTTGTTTGGTGTGGTGACAGATCAATTCAAACTCCAGATTCACAATTGATGGCAAATACGTCAAGCTTGTGGCCAGAGTCTAAAACTGGATTCTTGGCATTTGGCGAGGTGATACATGTGCTTGGATGGAAATCAATCAATCATAGAAGTTTCAGATAGTTTTGCCGGCTGATTCTTGTTTTGTCTCGTGATGAGATCTCTTGTACCAAATGTGGCCCCTTTTCTTCTCTCCGGAGTTCCTTCGGATACTGTTTCAACAATTTTTAGCAGTTGAGCCTCGTTATAAAGCACAGAACTTCCTTTCTGCTATACTTGAATCTCGTAACTTTTATTCTTCATGGCTTCATTCTCATTTCCATTTCAATCGAAAACTTACAAAACATTCACTGGTATGAAATTACAATTGCAGGGCAACGTAAACAAACTTGTATGGCGAAATCGATACTTTACAATTCGAGTCTGTACGTATTAACTAGGCACTCTATGTAACACTGTCGTTCTTCCAATGTAGCCACCAACTAATGGGTGCATTTCTCTTGCGCCTTTTCCTTTCCCCTGGAGTGATCTCAATCCTTGAATGATTGAAAGTTAAAACAAGAGACAATAAGCTAGTATGAACACCAAAATAACAGAGCAACCCATTGCCTGCAAGCCAAAAACCAAAACAGAACACGATTAATCGCAAATCAATAGCTCGGGCATTTTCCATTCCCATCAACAGAGCAGTTAGTTATAAAAATGGTGAAAGGGTTCTGCTTACAGCAATTGCTGCTGCAGCGAGGCCTGCTCTTTCCCTGGGATCTTTGCGGTAGCAGTTTCCGAAGTAAAGGATTGTAGCATAGTACCACATGAGTGGGAACAAAAACCCGGAAAGAAAGCTGAAAGCACCCCGAAAAAATCAAGAGTACGTAATTCTTAGTAGCTGCAACACGCGGAGAGTTTCAAGGACGGGTAAGAGAGGAGGGAAAGAGGCACTCACGAAAACCACCCTATTCCACAACCAAAGCAGGGAAGGGGCTTATCAAATGCACCCCCTGCTAGGAAATCTTCAGGATCTCTGATTAGCGTGTACTTTCCCTTTTCCTGCTCCAATCCTTGCGGTGGCGACGGTTGCCCTAAAATAAATTCCAAGTTTTGTTGAGGATGTCTATCAAGCAGGAAAGCAGTGTTTTCCCGACCAAAATAATTATAAAATATGAAATGAATCCATAAATGCAAGGAAAACCATACAATGAAAAAAAGAAGAGAGAAGTTAAGCCACATCGAGCTTATAGATACCGAAACAAATATTGGGACAAACAACAGAGACATACATAAGAAATGCAAGAGATGGAGACACGACATGACGAGGCAGCTGCACGCGGTTGATAAATAAAAACCACGGCTATAAAAATTTCAGGAGGCAAAGGTCATCATGAAGGTGAAGTTCAAAGATTAAGCTTGAAAGAGGATGACATAAGACCAATTTTTTACTACACCACCAATCAAATGATATCAGATCATTCTTTGATCGAGAGAGGTCTCATGTAGGAATTCTGGCAACCAAAAAAGACATTGATTTAAGCATAAGGTATGACATGTATGTGTAAAATGCAAACTTCACGATAACCTGGAAGCTTTCACAACGCATCAAGGAAAAGCGTGATAGATGCTGTGTTTTATTCATAAATTATTTCTTGTTTCCTTGTTTAAGTTTGAATACTTGGTTAGTTATGTTCGGCCATTTATTTTAGTACTTTCTTTGTCAAAATGGGAAGTCCTTTATAACAAGAAGAGTCTTAGGTTTCTCGGATTATGAGCTTGTAACCTTATATAGGATCCTATTGTCAGAATGCAACATAAGAATAAGGAGGTTTATTTGAGTATCTGACTTGTTTTCTTAGAGTAGATTCCCATTTGAAGTCTTGCTCTTATATTGAAGATGCAGCCTCTCAAACACTACTTTTCTTTTCTTTTCCATAAATTTCAGCAACCAAGTTAAACAGAACCCTATAGTTCCTACTTCCTCTTTGCGTTAGAAACCCAAGACAGGTTAGCAGAGGCATGTAAGAAAATGAGATAAGATCAATTTTGGACTTCGTTCAAGAACTCGAGTTAATGCGATAACAGAGGAACATAAGAAAGCGAAGAACAAAAGAGATGCATACCTCTGAATACTGAAAGGTTTCTAGCTGTTGGTCTCAGAAGATCCATATGTTTATCCGTGGCAGGTTTCACCAACTCAAGTCCATTCCTTAAACTTTCCTTCTCCTCAAAGCTTGCATCTGCAGCACCAAAGAAGTGTAGCCCATGGTGAATGAGAGCTTTTCAATATCAAGGGACCAGAGATAGGTGGATCCAACGAAACAAGAAATGAGGGTTAAACCTCGTAAAGCACAATCTAATCATCCTGGTATTAACAGTTTTTCCTGCTTTCACTAATGCCATATCACCACTAACGCTAACTATATCAGAACTCGCTTATCTCTCCCCTCGCTCACCTAGAACAAGCAAGCAATTTGGTGCAGGAAAAGAAGTGAATATGACTATGCAGGACCGTTTACAAGAGCAACATATATGGAATTATATCATAACGAAGAAGTAAATTGCAAAAGAGGGGACCTTTACTTCTATCCATGAGTGGTTCAGTCGAGCCTCCTTCAGCCAGCATGAAACCCACAAAAAGAATCTGAAGAAAGAGGAGTGAGTCAGTCTTCAATTTCTACACCCTCAACGCAGTGACAATGATCACACTATCATGGAATCAGTTACTGGCATTCAATATAGTATCCAAGTATTCAACATGAATGCTAAGGAGGAAATAGGAATTGAATTTCGGTAAAGGAATTGTGGGGAAGTCTCTTAATCTAACTCAATAAACTTAAACAAAGTATAAAAATCCCTCTTCCCGCCACAACTTCCCCATCTGATCATGGTTACCATAGGACTAACACAATGCTGTGAGTTGATAGACCATGAAGCTGCAGAATCGTTTCTTTTGGCAACTTCCTTAAACAAAATCAGCAGTTCATGCGCATAAAAGATCCATAAGCTCCGGGACTGCTACGACCCATCTCCGTCCCCATAGATACAATAGGCCACTACAATTGACAGCCCAAAGCCAGTAGTATCCAAAAACAGGTCTTTTGCCAGAGCCCACCAATAGCAAAAGCTCATCATCGCTTCGAAAAGAAAGATAATAGCAGCGAATAGGTTCCCTTAATAAACTCGATCTCCTTCCTAAACTACAACGCCACAAGGATTGACTAGCTTATGAACTGGGAGCTACAAAGATAATTCCTCCAAAATCACCCACGAAAACACACATACAGCCTTTCCAACCATCCAAAGGAAAAGCCTTTTTGAGTGCTAAGCGAAGAAGGGCAAAAGGAAAGTAGCTATAACTTGCCTTGGAAGATCAGGAACCCAACTGAGTTTGCCGAGGCTGAGATGAAATTCTGGTTGCAGAGGTCAGCCCTGGCCGGCAGATCAGCGGGCGGGGGAAGTTGATACCAAATAAAGAGGACTGACTATGAAGGGGTTTCCTTCCTTTTCCTTGTTCTCTTGCCCTTGATTGCCCTTGTCTTTCTTGTTGATTAGCGGTTCATTAATACGGAAGCGAAAGATGTGAAGGTTAGGGCGAGGTGTTTTACATGACAAGCAAAGGAGACGGCCATTGTAGAATTTTTCGTTTTTGAGATGAAGCTGAGTGAAGAAGATTGACCCTCCCGCTGTCTTCTTCCCACCAGTTGCGTAGCGAAAAATGACTTCCATTACACAATTTTCTTTTTAATCTGAGATTTGAAAATAGAATACAAGAAAAAACTCTCTACCTTATAAATCTTTTGCCACAAAATTACATAAATCAAATGATAGATTAGCAACTCTAAATTAGATAGAGAAATGGTTTTTCTTGCCATATTGGGCAGCGATCATCCGATGACTGTCATTAAGCACCGGATCTCTAATTGCATATGACTCTATCTCTTTGAGTAGTTGGTGCATATCGACTTCATAACTCCCTTCTAGCGTGACTCCACAATTACACAATTTAATAACCAAAATTTTCAAGGATTTACAAATTTTAGCAAAACTTTTCGGAATACAAAAAAATTAGTCAACTGTTAAGTCTTTACTGAAATTTCATTAGTTAATACTGAGCTTGCGACTACACCGCTGAACTGGAAAAAAATTGGTGATGTGGCGGTTAATAAGATAATATCAACTCAATCAACAAGTGAGTTGCGGGATGGAAAAGAAATAAGATAGTTGAACATTTCGATCTTATTTTTTTCCTACAAGAAGTATCAGAGCCAACGTTATTCCCCATATGCTTTGTGGTTGCAGCATAGACAAATATTCCACATCATAAAGGGTTTCTTATGCTTTGTTATCAGAACTGGTTCAACCGAGAGTCCGTAGTGACGATATCCCCATCAGGCGGTCATAGGCTGCACTTATTTCAGTAATACCGAAATAGAGAATTCAGAGAAGTTACCAAGTAAGAAGATGGAGGGTTTTTCGGTTAACGCTATAGAGAAGTTACACAAGACCAACTACTCAAGTTGGTCTATGCAAGTTTGACCGCTTGATGGGATTTTCAGACCATGATCGATGCAAGTTTGACAAAAAGTATCCAGGTGCATTTTTCTGGGCTATGACGACCAACCAAAAGGATGGAGATGTTTTTATCCAACAACAGACGATATACAAATGTTATGTGTCACTCAATGGGGTGTTTAATGAATCATCCTCTTGGTGGTCACCATAAATAATCCTACTTCCATACTCAAAGGAGATGGAGGAAAGGCTGCTAGAGAGGTCTAGTGAAGAAGAAGTGAAACGTGCATAGAATGAACAAGGAGAAGGTTATGCAGGAGCTCAATCTCAATCTCACTCATAGAAGAAGAACGATTTAGTCAACTGGAGGATATAGTTGATCATCCACAAGAGCTCAAAAGGTCAAAAAGAGCTAGAAAGACAAATCCAATATTTGCCAATGTAGCTGTAATATAAGATATTGGTGTTAAAGAAGCAACGTCTTACAAAGAAGCAAAATACATGATGAATGGATAAAAGTTATGGAAGAAGAGATTCAACCTATCGAGAAGAATCAAACATGGGAGCTCGTACCAAAGACTAGAGATATTAAACCCATTTCCTACAAATGGGTTTAAAAACCAAATACCAAGTTAGATGGATCAATTGAGCATTTCAAGACTTGATTGGTGGCCCACGGATTTTCTCAACAATATGGTTTGGATTATGATGAAATGTTTAGTTTAGTTGCCAATCACAATTGTATGTGTTCTCTTAGCACTTGCAGCCAGTAAATCTTGGAGAATGTGACAGCTATATGTGAACGTGGAGAATGCTTTCTTACACGAGGAGCTTGATCGAGAGATCTATATGGAGCAATCTAAAGGATTTGATAGCACAAACTCAAGCTATGTCATTAAGCTCAAGAAATCCCTATATAGTTTGAAGTGGGCGCCTTGAGCATGGTATGAGAAGATTGGAGAATTTTTACTCCAATGTAGATACTTTGTCACTCCATCATATTCAAGTTTGTTTGTCAACGAGCAAGAGAGAAAATTCGCAATTGTGTTAGTTGTTGATGAGTTGATCGTTTCTGGAGATAATGAAGAAAAATCAACGAACTCTAGGGAATCTATCCATAAGGTTCCAAATGAAGGAACTTTGTGGCTAAAGCACTTTCTTGGAGTTGAAGTCAAGAAAACAGAAGACGAGTTATTCCTCAGTAAATATAGATATGTCATAGTCCCGTTAGAGAAGTTTGGGCTGCAATAGTATAAGTCTATGACGATATTGATGGAAGCTAATTTTAAACTCAACTCACAATTAACGCACGCCCAACAAGTTGAGTACCTAGCCAATAAGGAATAAGATCCGCCAGGAGGGAAAAGATTTAGAAGAAGTGACGATGTACAGACAACTTGTGGAGTACTTTAACCTACCTAACTTTCACCTGTCACAACATTTCTTATGCAGGCGGAGTCATTAGCCATTTCATGCAAATCCCAAGAAGGTATACCTAGAGATATTAAAAAAAAGTAATGAGATAAGCCAAGGGAAACATCAGTCACTGGATATTTTACAAGAAGGGAGTAGATTGCAAGCTTGAGTGTTAGTGTGATGTTGATTGTTTTGCAGACCTAGACACTCATCGCTCGACAACAGGATATGTGTTCACACTTGATTCGGGAGAATCGCCATTGTGCAATAAGAGACAACAAACTGTTTCATTGTTGAGTATAGAGGCAAAATATAGAACGTCATCAATGGCATCACAAGAGTGCACTTGGCAAGTGAAACTTTTAAAGGATCTTCATCAAGATGTTACTTATCCATTTCCCTAATTCTATGACAATTTATATGCTATCAAGTTAGCATAGAATCCTGTGTTTCATGCTAGAACAAAACATGTTGAAGTCCATTATCATTTTCACCGAGAAAAAGTGTTGAAGGAAGAGATAGAGATGAAAGCAGTAAAGACAGGAGACTGGGCTGTAGCTATTTTCACTAAATCTCTTATGAGGCTCAAATTTGAAGAGTTTAGTAGCAAACTTGGAATGATCAAGAAGCAGAAGAATGTAAGTGATTCTCAAGTACGTGAAGACAGAAAACCAGATTGCTAACATCCTCACAGAATCGCTCAAGTATGATGTGTTCGTAAAGGTGAGGACACTACTCGGAGTAATGATGAATAAAGCTTTAAGAGAGTGTAAAAAAATAAGTTCAATAAAAAATAGTAGGGCTAATACTACTACAGCATCCGAGCTATAAACAAAATGTCACTTGTATCCTATTATTTCCAGTATTCTATTTATATCCTAAACTATTATTTTGTTAGTGTTAACCAGTGTTGACTGTTAGTTTTAACACAAATTCCAGTCAGCATTGACATGGCATCTGACATGGAATTTTCAATTTTTATTTAAAAGAAAATAAAAAAAACAAAAATTGCTTCACTTTTCCATCTCCTTCCCCGATCGAGTGTTGCCCGACAGATTCAGTGGCCACTATGAGTAGAGGCCGTCATTATTCCCAGACTAAATCTGACTCCCCTACAAATACAATCTTCCATCGAGCAGGGGTGGCAGAAGAGGAATCCAGAGAAGGAGTCACCGACCACAATTTCTTATTCCTCCTTTCAATTTGGTTTCAATTTAGGGGTAGAGTTTGGTTTCAATTTATGGGTTAAGTTGTAGGCGGCGGCGCGACCACCGCTGAATCTGATGTCGATGGAACGGTGGCCTGGGGATGAGAAAAATGCCCCTTCCCTGCCCATCGATGAAACCTAGAAAGCGCAGGTTGCTATCTTGAAGTTTGTTTTTTGGAAGCGCAGGTTGCTGGTAACTTCTTCTCCAGTGTTTGTCGGCATTGAAGAGGGCGAGCTCGTCGGAATTGATGGTTTTCTAGGTTGGGGAAATATTTGAGTGATAGAGAGACGAATAGTGAGAGGTTGCCTGGGTTTCGCCAGCAATGGCGGCGCGATAAGGGCTAGAGAAGCGCAGGTCTGGGTGAGGGGAGAGGGCCAGGATCCCTCGCCCGTCGCAACAACTTTCCTTCCATTGTTCTCTCTCAACGTCGGCTCCCTGGCTCGAGTGAATTGGCACAACATTCATCAAACATCCTTCAACCCAGAACACCATGGTGGCGTCGACTTGAGGGCGAATACATTCAGATTGAGGAACCCAGATTCATCGTACTGGCAAGAAATCCAAATCCGTCGTGCTGGCGAGGAACCAAAAACCGACGATCTCTCTATTGTGATCCAAGATATGTCGGAAAATGGAGCTTGCTTGGAGGAAGAAAAAGATGAAGCAGGTCCGGGGGAGGAGAAGAAGGAGTGAGAACCGTTGTCGAAAAAGCACACTGAAGTCTTTTCTTTCTTTCGGCAGAGGAATTTGTTTTTTGAAATTTTTATAAATATTAATTAGTTTTGAATTAAAATATGAGGTGTCAATGACATGGCATCTATGTGGCTGCCACATTTTTGCCACATCAGCAAAAGTCAACAACAATTGGACTTTCGTCTGGTCAATTGTTATCTCTAACGGTCACCGAAATTATTAGGATACAAATGATACAGAAGTATCATACGATAGGACACAAATGGAATATTAGAAAGAATAGGATATAAGTGGCATTTTTGTCATAGTTCAAATGTTGTAGTGGTATTTTCCCAAAATAATATTTGACCAAAATATAACAACTAACTAGAATTATGAAGTGTTTGGATTTATGTAAACTATGTATTTATTAGTTGGTTATGGGTTAAGAAAATGAAAAAAAAAATGGAGAACCACATATAGCTATATATATTTGTGGGCTAGTAGTTGTTTGGTGATAGCTAATGGAGACAAAGTTTAAGTCACAATTTGATAGTGGAGTTTGGTTGTAATATGTATGTGCTTCTCATCCCAAGAAAAGCAAAAAGAAAGAAGAAGAAAGAAAGAAGAGAGGGTGAGAGAGCAATAGTAAGTTTTGGGATAAAAAAAAAAGAATTGAGCATTTTCATCCATTTTTTCCTACAATTTGGCATTTGCTGGATTGATAGTGTAGGCCCCATTAATCGGGTTAATTCCCAAAATATAGTCTTTTTTTATTTATCACGAATATAGTGTTTTAAAAACTATTTACAAGAATATTGTGTTTTGAAGGGGGAAGACAACGACGGCGCCCGAGACTCAGAAAATTGAGTTTTGAAGGGAGAAAGAGGCGACGACGCCCGAGTCCAAGGCGTTGGCGCCATCGCTATAAACCTTTTCTTTCTTATCCCCTTCTTCGCCACTCCCTCTCGCCTCTCGCCATAACCACACACACTCCCCTCCTCCCTCACCTCCCAGACAGCGACGCCGCCAAAAAGAGAGCGGCGACGCTGAGAAGAAGAAGGCGCCGCCTCAGTCTCAGGCGGCCGCGCTCATTCCCCGGCGAAGGCGTCTAAACAAAAGCGTCGTCGCAGCAGATCTGCTTCTCACCATGTCCGACGACGAGCAGCAGGCGTCCGGCAGAAGAAGGGCCCGAGGGCGGCGAGCGCTACAGGAGTAAGTTGGCGGGTCGGATTCTCGCCGACGGCGGCAATTTTTTTTATGTTCTAATTTTTTTTCCAGTTCCTAGGCTGATCGATCCTTGTTCGATGAGACCACCACGTGCGACAATCGATACAGCTCCGGTGGATCCGGAACTTCTTTGGGGGCATGGTCACCATCGTATTGACGCAGTTTGGGCAAATGAGGTAAGTTTTCAAACTATTTCTATAGTTTTTTATTAGCTGAATAATATAATAGATAGAATTAAATTAAATTACTAATAGAATTAAATTAAATTATAAATAGAATTAAATTAAATTATGAATAGAATTAGATTAAATTACGAGTATATTAGAATAAGTTTAGTTTAGATATATAAATATAACGTTTAGGTGAATTGAAGGAATTGAATTAATATAATTTTTGTGCATTAATTATAGGCTGGTGATCGATCTTACCACATTCGTCATACGAGCATTTTTCTCTTGACCACCCGCAAGAATGTTTGCAAAAAATCGTAGGATTCTTCCCAATTTCCATGCAACTTCTCCAATGCTCTTTGTTTCCCATACCATGCCTTCTTGTAAGTAACTTGCATATTAAACTTATCTTTCAACTCGGCCTGCACAGTTAGAACACTCAAATTTAGTTGAGCACGTACCAAGTGTTTCACGGACTCAGATATAACGTCGACATCAAGATGGCGATGATCCGTCAGTTGAGTCGTACTGCTACAAGTATGCACCAACTCGGCCTTTCTCACGCTTCAATCGCCTCCCACATCTCGACATCCAAACCGCACCATCCAAGGACATTTGTCCTCCTTGTGCATCAAACATCTGATCTTCCAGATTGAAGGTGACGACTCCACCACATTATACTGAAAGTTGCGTTGTAGTGCATAGTGTATAATCGCCACCTGTGCAGCTTGTTTCGAGTGAAATATCTGCCCCTTGTAGAATTCTCCATCAAAACCACCAACAATAGACCCTGGAATTACGCCATATGAATCAACATATGATAGTTCTTCGTCCTCTTCATTACCCTGCAAGTAAAAATATGGAGGATAATTAGGTTGTTCTCCTCCCTCCCCGTCGTCGTCTTCCTCCTCCTCCTCCTCTTCCTCCTCATCATCATCATCTTCCTCCTCTCCATCATCACCGTCATCATAGTCATGATCGGATGGCATGCTCCATGTGTCATCTTCTTCCTCTCCACCCCGATCCTCACTGAGCTCAGCATGTATCTCAGCACCCAAACAATAAGGATTTTGTGCCATAAAATTCCAAAGCACATTTAAGCTATCATCATCGACAATAGGCATTGCATAATGAAATAAAACACCATTATGCCATTCTGGAAGACAGTAAGTGAAACCTGTAATCACAACACTATCTTGTACTGTTTCGTCTCTACGCCGTATTCTCTGAATTAGATTATTACAAAGTTTCTGATAGTTCACCCTGGATGGAATAGTCATCTGAAAACTTACACCACCAACAAAATGGACACCCAAATTGTCCTCTACTTTCTCTGATTTCCACCGAACAGCTAGTTCAAATCTTATAAAACCACTACATAAAAAACAAACTCGCTAATTACTAACTGGACAAAATCATTATGATGAATACATGAAAAAAAAAATACGACTCTTACCTATTATTAGCCATCTTCCCAGCAACCAGACAGCAACAACAGAGCTTCTTTCGGAACTTCTTTCAGTTTTTTGGTGGTGAAGAACCGAAGGAAAGGTGCAGTATATGGTGATGGGTGGTGCTGGAGTGGAAGAAAATGGCAGCGACAAAGCCCCAGTCTGGGGTGCCGCCGCTTTTACATATTTTTAAGAGACAAAGCCCCAGTCTGAGGCGGCGACGCTTTCACAATTTTTAAAGGCCAAAAGCCCCTGTCTCGGGCGCCACCGCTGGATTTTCTTGATAAAACAGCACCTAGCAGCCGCGCTTGAGTCTAAGGCTTTAGCGCTTTATACATACCAAAAAACACAATATTCTTGTAAATAGTTTTTAAAACACTATATTCGTGATAAATAAATAAAAACAATATTTATGAAATTTACCCTATTAATCCTCAATAGTCATCTCATTCTTTTATTTCTTGAGCTAGAAAAATCTTTGGAAGAGAAAAGTGAACAAGAAATTAGAATTGACTCGAACAGAAATAAAATTCTCATTTTTTGAAATGATTAGTAATTGAGCCCTCATAATTGGGACTCTCCCCAAATTCCCAATTATTGAGGGTTGAGGGTTTTCGTTCCATTTGAAAACAAGAGATGCAAAAACCTTGATGCCTCTATCAACTATTTGTTGGTTGGATATAAATTTAAACATCTATTAGCATCTGCGGGTTGTTACACAATAAAATATAAGGTTGGAGGCATTGGGGATGCTACATACTATAATGAGAGAAAGAGACATGAAAGTACACAACGATGGTGATCGAAATGATGAGTGGTATATTTGGGGCTAAGATCTGGTGACTAGGGGGTCCCCTTAGTTATATGGCCAAGTGAATCTCCACCCTTGCACCTCATTAAAATCCAAGGGCTCCTATTAATTCAATTTAACGAAGGGCAATGTAGTAATTGCATGTTTATTTTTAATTTTTAATTATAAAAAAAATAAAAAAAATAACCCAGCGCCGTCCGTCCCCGTCGCGTCGCCTCCCATCTCCGTTCCGTTAATTGCGCCGCCAGGGGAATTCCTGGGCAACTGGGCGCCCATTATTTCCATGGGGAATTTCCTCAGAGAGTTCCTGTGCGCCATTATTCGAGAGAGAGAGAGAGAGAGAGAGAGAGAGAGAGAGAGAGAGAGAGATTCTGGTCGGAAAGATTTTCTGGTCGGAATTTTTTTTTCCGGCGACCATCGTGGACGGGGAAGAATTTTCCGGCGACAGTGCCAATTTTGTGATGTTTGTTGACATATTTTGTAATGTTTGTACGCTTTGTTATTTTGTAATGTTCGTAAACTTTGTTATTTTTGTGCACCATGTTTATCATTTTTGTCAACCATGTTTGTAATGTTTTTTATGTCTAAAAACAACCTGGTTGACTTTTGGATGGAACTTCTGTATATAGGGATGGAGCCTCCAAAGTCAACCCGAGTGTTTTTTCCCGTTCGTATGGATTGTCGGTCTAGTTTGTCATTTTTGTCCACCATGTTCGTACTGTTTGTATGTCTAAAAAACACCCGGGTTGACTTTGGGAAGGAGCCCCTCTATATAGAGATGGAGCCTCCAAAGTCAACCCGGGTGTTTTTTCCCGTTCGTATGGATTGTCGGTCTAGTTTATCATTTTTGTCCATCATGTTCGTACTGTTTGTATGTCTAAAAAACACCCGGGTTGACTTTGGGAAGGAGCCCCTCTATATAGGGATGGAGCCTCCAAAGTCAACTTGGTTGTTTTTTCTTTTTGCATGGTTTGTATTGTTTGTCAATCTAGTTTGTATTGTTTGTACAGTTCATACGTTTGTAATGTTTGTAAATCTGTTTGTATGTTTTGTCGCTCTAGTTTGTACTGTTCGTATGTTTGTATGGTTTTTACTGATTGTAAATCCGGTTTGTATACTTCGTAATATTCCATAATACCCAAACTATCCCTATCATTAATTAAATAGCCCTTCCCACTTTTTAACCATTGGATTGAAGTGTCCAGATCTAATGGCTAGGAGGGGCTTAGTCAAGTGACTAAGGACCCCCTAGTCATGGGATCCGCTCTCGTATATTTGGGGCTTGAAATTAAGCCCCTCCACAAAAAAAAAAAAAATCACCACTTAACATGTTAAACTCATATATTTTGTGTACATTTTTAAAATTTGAGTTGAAAACGATGGTAGTATAGAGTGATATCATAATGGTAATAACTAGCGACTAATGAGTAGTAACGTGTGATACAAAATCAAAAAATATCTTAATATCAACCTCTAAATCAATTTCAATCGAACAAAAAAAATCTAATTGCACTCAAAATTAAAAAAAAAAAACAAATGTCAAAATCTAGACCCTTATATTCCGTTCAAGTAGGGGTGGGCAATGGGCGGGTTGGGTGGGTTTTGGTCTCAAATTGACCCAATCTTTTACTAGCGAGTTGGAATAATTGCGACCCGCAATCCACCCACATACTTTTTGTGGGTTGGGTGGGTGGCAGATGGGTGCGGTTGGGTCGCGGGTCAACCCGCAAAAGCAATTCTCCAGTTAGCTATTAAGAAAGTTGACTAACATTTATAATAAGTTCAAAGCAAATTAGTAAGATTGTATCAATAATTTGTGATTTTGATACAATTAATAATTTATACTTTGCATCCCAATATTTAATGGATATTAACAATAATTTGCATACCAAAATCCAATATTTAATGAATATTGCACAACACAATAACCAATAATAGTAGTCAAAACTATTCGTTATTCTCTACCTTTTGAAGTATATGGTCAGACTGTTGTGCAGTTCAAAAATATGATGAATATTAGATACTATAAGAAACTATATTTTACATGTAAAAATAGGATGCAGGTCATACGGGTGCCCCGCAATCCACCCACCACCCACCCACATAACTGCGGGTGAGAGAATTATCAATTCGCAATCCATCCAACATCAATCACCCACTACATACGGGTCAGATTATTTGCGGGTGTATTGATATCAATCCGCGAATTAACCACCCACTTGCCCACCCTAAGTCCAAGGTGTTATCTGAATCCTGAGCCCTCAATCGGGCGCTCGGAAGGATGTCCAAGCCCGCCACCATAAGGCTTTCAAATCTGTAGGCCCATGCAACTTTCAAAGGAGTCGTATAAACCAATAAAATAAGGAAGCGTCGACCCTCCTACCGCAGCCGACCATGATTATAGGCCCATTTGGAAAATAGAAACATCAAAGCCCAGTATTTGTTCGGTACCCATACCGACCCGACCCGCCAAACTGCTCGATCCAACTCGATCCTTTACAAAACTGAAAACTCTTTTCATCTGTTCTTGATTCTTGAAATAACTCGTTCTCTGAAGTCTGAACTCGGAAGAAAATCCCTGGAAACGCTTCTTTACTTCATTGGAGGTCATCACAGTTCAGTTCTTTTCCGCTTCCTTCAGGCAAGTTTGAGGTACTAGAAGTTTGATTTTTCCAGAGTTCTTAATTTTACTGAGTAATTGTCGCGTACCTTGTTTCTTTTCTACTGAAGAACTGAGTGATTTCATCCTCCTGCGCGATCATTGCGTCCGCCGTCGACATTGCTTTAGGGCGCTTTGATGAGGACTGAAGTTCAGTCGGCTGGTTACGTCAATTAATGGGAATGGCTGCTTTTTTGTTTTTTTGATAGAACCCTGCATTCTCCATTAACTAGAAAAGTTATATATTCAAAGAAGCAACATCAACCAAGCTGCACCCACGAAGGGCGTGCTCAGGAGTCTCCAACAAAGGGGCAACCAGGTCCAGCCTTTTTGGATTTACATACCAGCCGACTTCCAACAGGTAAAGCATTTCTGGCTAATTCTCCATAGAAAGTGCTTAATTCTCGGTTGGATCTTGAAGCTCCACAGCTTTGACCAGGACCGAGTCATGCTTGGCGATGTGTTTTTTTTTTCTGACCATTTGTCTTGAATTGATCTAGTACCCTGTAGAGTTTATAACCTGATTTAACTGTGTACTCCCCCTCTTGGGGTCAATGTCCTGATCCTTTCATCTTGTTTGAGAGGATTCTGCAATGGTGTTTTAGAAATATAAGTTTGGTCTTCTTCTGAGAAGAGAGAGCGAATCGGATCCTGATTCCATGTGCAATCTTCCCTGTTAATTAAGTCCGAAACACTTAGACTAGGTTCACCCCCGATTGGAACTTGAACAGGGCAGAAACCTTCCCTGTTGGGGATCCATTTGTCTTTTGAGACCCATCACCCACCCTCCATCTTAAACCTTCCTGTAACAAATCTTTGGCTCCCATTAAGCTTCTCCACACAAAAGATTGCAATGTAGCCTACTTTGGCTTGCAAGATAACGGTTTGTGGGAAGTAATGGGCTTTAAGGATTTTTGCCACCAAGGAACCAGGTCTGGACATGATACTCCAGATCTTTTTGCAAGCATAGCTTTGTTGAAAGCCTTTTAAGTCCTTCAAACCTAATCCTCCTTCCTTCTTATCGTCACACATTCTGTCCCAACTGACCCAATGGATACGATTTTCCTCCCTTTCTGTCCCCACCAGAAACTTGTTATAAGACTCTGTCTGGATCTCATCCAGAATACCCTCCGGTATTAGAAATACCATCATAGGATAGAGAATTTTTGCCGGAGCCACTGCGTTAATAAGAACTTCTTTTCCTGCATGTGATAAGGTCCTTGCCTTCCAATCCTTCAGTTTACTTCTGACCCTTTCCTTAAAACCAGCAAAAATAATCTTCTTAGATCTACCAACCATCGTAGGAAAACCAAGATACTTGTAATGTTTGTCCACCTCTTTTATCCCAAGGACATCACAGATCTCCTTCCTTCGATGTTCCTGCACTTTCTTACTGAAGGTTAGCTCTGATTTTGTTAACTTATTCTGCTGCCCGGATTCTTCCTCATAGACTTTCAATATTTCCTTAAGTTTCACTCTCTCTTCCCTTGATGATCGGGCAAAAACAATGCTATCATCCGCAAAGAGCAGGTGTGATACTTGCGGTGCTCTCTTGCTAATCTTGATCCCGTGTTTTCCATGTTTACTTCGGATGACTTCAGTAGAGCAGAGAAACCCGCTGTGCACAGTAGAAACAAATAGGGTGACAAAGGGTCTCCCTGCCGGAGTCCCCTAGATGGAGCGAATTCGCAAGTTCTATGTCCATTCACCATTACAGAATAAGATACAGTAGCTATACACATCATGATCAGCTTTATCCACCTCTCTTCAAACCCCATCTTTCGCATCACTTTCTCAAGGAAACCCCATTCCACCTTGTCATAAGCTTTGGCCATATCTAGCGTAGCTGAAAAAAACCCTCCTTTTACATTGCCACATCTTCTCATATAATTATAACATTCAAACGCCATTATGATGTTATCCGTTATCATCCGCCCCAGCACGAATGCACTATGTTTCTGAAATAATCTTTGGCAGCTTTTCTTGATTGGCTTTAATTGCGGGGAAACATGTCTGGTTCTTCCCGGAGGAAATTATCAGTGGTTCCTGCTTGCATTGCTATACTTTCTTCTGGTGGTTGCAACTTAAGAGAGTTCTGGAGTTATTGTTTATGAACACACTTACACTGGTTTTCTGTGGTGGGAAACTATTATCTGCAACTTGAGTAGTCACTACACTTGGAATTCAGCCTACTTATGGGGTTTTCAATAGTAGATTGCAAGTGAACATCATCTGTGTTGAGAATCAACGTGTTGAATAGCGCATGCCTTTGTGGCTGCATTAGGCAGGTTGGGGATGTCGAAAGATTGTGCAATCGACGAAGGGGGAATTGATGTTTTGATTGACGATTGGATTGCGAAATGGTGTATGGAATCACTACTCTATTATATACACTGCCTTGCTCTTTTGCAGCTTCCATGAATCTGTTCACTTAAACAGCATTCAGTTAGTCGAGCTTACTCCATGCCATCTAAAGTCTTGAGTGTTTATGCTACTGCTATGGTTATGAATCTGATGCATTTCATTTAGAATTGCCGAATGTATCCGATTGCTTACCTGAAAAATGGGCTTTTAAAGTTAAATTTGCTGTGGAACCAGAAATTTGTCTCTCGAGTATGCTGGGATCCCTGAACTGCAGTGAACTCGGCTTTTAGGAGCACTCGCACTTGATAACTAGGAACTTTCTGTTCACCTATGTAAAGGCATCCTGAAACGTCTAAATGTGGCCTTGGGGTTGAAGTAGCTTTTTGAGGTTTTACTGTTAGGATCTCCAGAAGTCTCGTGTGCTTCTTTGACTATATGATATAACTGACCCAAAGCATCCTGCAAATGTGACAGGTTGTGATCAAGAAAATGGAGTCAACAAATCCTGAAGCAGAAAAGTACAGAGAATTTATGGAAAAGGTGGAGCGGACTGTTTACATCGATACACTCCCACCACAAGCTAATGAATCAGTGCTGAAAACTGGGTTAGATCAGTTTGGCGATGTCAAGAATATAAGCTTCATCCCGAACTACATGGATCCCAGGAACAGCATGCGTTGTGCATTGGTTGAGATGAAGGACCCTAATCAGGCAAAAAATGTCATCAAAACACTGACTGACTCCCCGTTCATGATTGCTGGCATGCCAAGGCCAGTGAGGGTGCTTCCTGCTGAGCTGGAGATGTTTGATGACCGTCCAAGAAAGCCCGGCAGGAAAATAACATTCAAGTGGTTGGAAGCAGACCACCCAGACTTGAAGGTCGCGAAAGACATGAAGCGTGCTGTCGTAAGGCATGCTACTGAAGCTGCATTGGCCCATAAGGTAGAGCTTGTTGCACTTGGAACTTGGAAGAAGCCCTCGTTATGTCTTTCCTTTCATGGTCGAGTCTATAATAGGTCAATTTTATCTGTAGCTTTCCTAAATGCTGTTTCCCCCCTTCTCTTTTGCTTTCTCCAGCAACATCTGGAGGAAGAAGAGAAGCTGCATAAACAGCAAGTGGAGATCCTGAAAGCTAATTACAAGAAGTATGAGGTGGTGGATGGTGTGATAAGCGATGGGACAGCTCAGCGTGTGGCGAAGAGATACGGTATGAGAGTTGCAGATGATTAATCAGGTCCTCTAAAGTGATGTATGCATACAGTAGTAGTTCCAGTTGAACTTACAGCAGCTTGAGTTAGAAGTTAAAAAGCTTGATCTTAGGTTATAATTTGTATGAACAGCAGCAGCGGTTTAGGTAATGAGTAATGACTGATCTTGTTCCAGTTATGCATACAACAGCAGTACATACATAGCAGCAGGCTCATTACATACTCATTACACTCTAAACTAGGGCTGGAGGTTCGGTTATTGGTTAACCGGTCGGTTAAACTGATAACCGGCGGTTACCGGTTAACCGGTCGGTTAAACTGATAACCGGCGGTTACCGGTTAACCGATAACCGAAAATTATATGCTTCGGTCGGTGGTCGGAGCTCCTAATAGGTAATTCGGTTAACCGAGTAACCGAAAACTGGTTATCCGGTTAACCGATAATAACCGAAAATAACCGACCGACCACCCCCCTCACCAAAACGATGTGAAAATACCCGGTTATGAAGTTTATAATTTTATGTTGTTGAATTTGAGACATTAATTTGGTGATTTAGATGTAGAAATGTAAGTTAGAACCTTTCATTTTAGGCAATTCTAATAATTTTATCCGGTTAAAACCAAACCACCATCATTTTTTCGGTTATCTCGGTTAACCAATCAACTAACCGATTATCGACCGGTCGGTTATTGGTTAACCGAGGCATTGGCGTCGGTCAATGTTTGGTAGGGGGAGATGGTAGTTCGGTTAACCGGTAACCAACCAATCGGTTATCGGTTATAACCGAACCGAACCGAATCCACCCCTACTCTAAACTATCATTGAACAAACAGACAGTAAATACATACTTGTGAAAACTCTAAACTATCATCTAGTTCAACAAGGGGAACCCTCCTTGTTCACTTTCATTTTCGTTTCTAGTTTTATGTTTTAATGTCATAAATTTGACAATCGAAACGAGAAAATTTGTTTACTTTTCATTTCGTTTTCTATTCGTTTCTAACTATGAAAACAGAAAGTGGCAACTTCCTGCTGTTTTCGAAAACGACAAAATGTTGTTTTCACCCGTTTTCAACATCTGTTTTCTCAAAAACAGGAATGAAAGTAAACAAATCTCATTCATCAAACTAAAACTTCATTACTCATACAAATGCATACTTTCTCCACTCGAGAACAACCCTTAACATTCATCAAACTAAAAACTCCATCACTCATAGAAGCCAAGATACTTCTCCGCTCGAGATAATCTTCTTTCCATTGCCGCGCTACAACTTTGGAGTCCAACGGGACATTACTTGGGTTGTTCGAAATACTTGAACTTGGTGGGATCATCCCTGAATCATCATCTTCACCACCAATTTTAATCTGCAAATTGGCGATCAACTTGTATAATTCCGTCTTCTTTGTCAACCATATCAGGAACATAACAGTGATAACACCATTCAAACAAGTCACAATGACCCTGTAAGCCAAAAGAAAGTAGAAATTAGTTCATCCTTTCAAAATCACCAACGACCAGAATTTGCTTCTCTGTTTTGCATCAATCTGTTTAACCATTTATGCTACAATCTTCGCCTAATTCATACAATCTTCTACTTTGATTTCTAAGCCGAATTTCTGTTTCCTTGTAGCTACAATGCTCAGGGCTTGAGGACTTGCGTCGAAGCCGTTGTTCTGGTGAGCATTAGGGTTAGTCTTGGCTATCTCTTTCCTTCAATTTAGGTGTCGCATATCATAAAATCGGTTCCAACTTCTAACAATATAGAGCACACTCAATTAAATCGTGACAGTACGAGGCAAAGTTTCAGATAAGCGCCATGCATTGTTTTTATTCTTCGTAATAAGGGTATTTCAAATAAAGTTCGTACAATAATGTTGTATGCATGAATTCTGTTTGTACCATGCAGCAATTTGTACGAAAATATGTAAAAATACAAGCTGAATTTGTACTATAACGATAAAGTTCAAATCCAGTTTGTACCATAAAACAAACTTTTTGTTAACGAAAGCATAGATATAACGGATTTCCAAAGTACAGACTGAATTTGTACTATAATGATATAGTATCATGCTCCCAATTCTAATTTATTTTGTTTCAACTCCTAATTTAGATATTCGTGCAAAAAAAAAAATGATCTGCCTAATGATATTCGTTTTGATATACGTTGAAAAATAAAATTTCCAAAAACATAGCAAAATCATATGTTCACGAGTGACGAGTCACGCTCAAATTCAACAATTACTAAACTATATCAATATCATTCAATTATATACCATAATATACGAACGACTACTCATGTACTATCATAGCTCACAGAATAATTTTATTTTTATTTTACCGAGTTACTAAACTTAATCAATATTAAATTTTATACTATCATAATACTCAACAATTTCATGATAAAACATTGTCATGCACTAACTAAATTATCTTTAAAAAAAATTCCATTTCCGACCAATTGACCGTTTTCAAAGGTAATTACATAATAAATAAATGTGTTCTTTAGGTGCTTAAAACGTCACTATCTCAGAATAAAAAAATTGATGATTTTCAGAATTTAGGAAGCAAAATGGAGAGCGAGGACTAGGACTAGTCTTTTCTGTTCTTTCGGTCTTCCCTCTCTGGTCTGACGTGATTCTTCAACTCACACGCTTTTCTCAATCCAACACATATCTCCACTCCTCTGAATCGAAGTTCCATTCCGCCATTGATATTTCTCATCAGTCTTCCTTCCACCGCTTCATCCCGAACTCCCGGCGGCGCCTCCTATTCCGTGCTTGCGGAATCACCCCGAGCGAGCACCCACGCCCGCCATGAACAAGAGAAGCTTGAACCCCAACCTCAACCTCAAGCTTTCTCTTCCTCCTCCTGATGAAGTCGCCTTCGCCAAGTTCCTGTAATTTCCCCCCACCCACCCCCCCTCTCTCTCTCCTCTCTCTTCTTGCTCGATTCGTTTTAGGTTTTTGTTTTTGTTTACCTCGAGCTTATTCTGCTGATGGATTGCTCCCAGGACGCAAAGTGGCACGTTCATGGACGGTGATCTGCTCGTCAATCGCGACGGAGTTCGAATCGTCTCTCAAACCGAGCCTGATGCTGTACTCTCTTCTCTCTCTGTCTGTTATGATGATGATGATCTCTTTGTTTCTTTTCTGTTTTCTTGGGTCCGATTCAGAGCTTGGAAGTGCCGTTCCCCTGTACAATTTTGTTTGATTGACTGGATTTCGCTTCGCCGTGTTTCTTTTCTTCAGCCGCCGCCAATTCAGCCTGCAGACAATCAGATGAGTCTAGCAGATATAGACACCATCAAGGTCATCGGGAAGGGAAATGGCGGCATTGTTCAGCTCGTGCAGCACAAATGGACCGGCCAGTTCTTCGCGTTAAAGGTTCTTTCCATATTTCCTATTATTTGTTCGCTTAGTTGCCTTTCTATTTTCAGCTTTGTTCTGGCAGTGGACTTGAAAAAAGTTTTGAGTCTGGTTGGTGTAAGTTAACAGTGCTTTCGAATTAATTATGAACTCAACCAACTGTCAATGTTGAGTTGCTGAAAGCTTCTATTCAGCTGCTTACTAGGGGAAACTTGACAAATGGGAAACCAGTCAGTTCCCTCTTTCTAATTGCTACTTCAGCCTTTTACTCTAGCAAGCTGCCAGAAACTTGACACCTGCTGAGAACTTCTTATGAATCACTTTGTTCCTCCCTACTTGTAGTCCATGAATCAAAGTTTGTCTATGGGCCAAGGTCAATGTTACGTAGAATGGTGATCTTTGTTTCTAAGAATGTCTAGTAATCCTTAAGCTGGTTGAATGGCTTCAGACTTATTCGGGTCCTTATGCAAAGCCCTTATCAGGATTCATTTAAAGGGCTCGGACCTTGTAATTTCTGTGGATTTTTCCGTTATATGGGCTTGCCCAAATGTTTCCATTTACTACCACTGTAGCTAACTACTGATCTTCCTGCTATGTGTAGGTTATACAAATGAATATTGAGGAGTCTGCACGCAAGGCAATTGCTAAGGAACTGAAAATCAATCAATCGGCACAATGCCCCCACGTTGTTATGTGCTATCAATCTTTCTATGATAATGGTGCTGTTTCCATTATCTTGGAGTACATGGATGGTGGTTCCTTAGCAGATTTTCTAAGAAAAGTTAGAACAATTCCTGAACCGTACCTTGCTGCTATCAGTAAGCAGGTTGGATGGCTTTCAAATTCTAGTGTCTACTGTTCAATAGGTTTAAGTTCTGTTAACTGTCTTATTCCAGATCTGTCCTGTTTTCCAGGTACTAAAGGGTTTGTTGTATCTTCATCATGAGAAGCATGTTATCCACAGAGACATGAAGCCCTCCAATTTGTTAATAAATCATAGAGGAGAAGTCAAAATCACTGACTTTGGTGTGAGTGCAATAATGCTAAGCACTTCAGGACAGGCAAATACTTTTGTTGGCACGTATAATTATATGTCGGTAAGTAACTTAATTTCTTTTTACCAAAGTTTAGCGTGTGATGGTCATTCTTGTTGTTCTTGCTACAATGGCCAATGGCCTGCAGCTTTTAAATGACTAAGAACCATTTGTCTGTTGCAGCCTGAGAGAATTAGTGGAGGAAAATATGACTACAAAAGTGATATTTGGAGTTTGGGATTAGTGTTGATGGAATGTGCGACAGGTCAATTTCCATATGCACCTCCAGAGCAAGATGAAGGCTGGGTTAATGTATATGAGCTTATGGAAGCCATCGTTGAGCAACCACCACCTCATTTACCTTCTGATCAGTTTTCTCCAGAATTTGGCTCGTTTATATCTGCATGGTAATGGTCCCATTCTTGAGCTTTATTCATAAAATCATTAAAAATTAATGCTGCTTATTCTTTCACATAAAATTCTTAATCTTCTTCCCTAACTTAATGCTCTAAAATAGAATCTACTCTTATTATGGCTGTCCTCGTATCTGTTACTCGTTGGCACGAAGTTGTACTTGTTTCAGCTCCGACTATGTCATAGATTTGATCCTTACCGTTCTTGCTTGCTGTTTATTTTTCAGCGTTCAAAAGGACCCAAAATATAGACTGTCAGCACTTGAACTTATGGTACAAGAAATCTCCTCTTGCCTTGTCTCTTCATGTTACTGCTCCATAAACGTTTGACATCTGTCTCTCTTTTTCTTTGGCATGCAATGCCAGGCACATCCATTTATGAAATTGTACGATGATCTTCATATTGATCTCTCATCTTACTTCAAGAATGCTGGCTCTCCTCTTGCGACCTTTTAAGTATCTCGTAAGTGCAGGACTTGGTCAATTCTAGCATATCAACTGCTTCATTCTTGCAATTACACCTAATTCTTCAGTTTGATGAAACTGTGACGCCCAGCTGGCCAGTTCGTACACCCGAGCCTTCCCTGAATCTTTTGATACTCTTTACTTTCCATGCTTCCATTTATTTTTGTATTTCCCTCTCTATTTGAGTTAATGTTCTTGGAAATAAAAGCCAAAATGTACTGAGTAGGGAATGAGATATGTTAACACGGCAATCAAACATATTTAGAAGATCCAGTTATCTTTCGTTCGGTGAACCAAATATTGTGCAAGTTTAAATTAGAAATGAAGGAGATGTAGACATCCCTGTCTACTTCTTTTAATTATTCCTACAGTCAAACAAAAAATAAGAAAATACTCATGGTAACTATTCGAGCTGACGAGATTAGTAATATTATCCGTGAATGTATTGAAGCTTATAGTTTCAAGGTTATGTCCATGGCTCAGATCCTAGGACCGTAGGCTCTTCAGCAAAATCTGATTTGTTTTTGCTTTTAGAAGTAGCTTAACAGCTTAATATAATGAACGGTATAAAAGTTCCCCTCTGCGTTTTGAGTGTTCAACAGTCGGTTCATCTAAATTCATATAATCATGTTTTGTTTTCGATGCAAGTTACTTGCTCTGATTACATTTGCTACTTTGGTACCAGATGGGGGCTCACGGCGACTCTGAAACAACTCGAGGAAGTAATAATCTAGTTAAAATTTTGAACTTGTCAAGTATTGAGCTGCAAAAATGCGGCAGGTAAGCAACAATGGTGTCAAGAAGCATCTACCTGAGTATCAAATTGCTCAAACATTTTGTGTAGTGTAAACCGAAATCTTTCTCTGCAGTGTAACTAGGGCGAGGTGTTGTTATTATCTCATAATGTGGGAAAGGGAAGCCCCCTTCTATAATTTCAATTTGAGTTGCCAGAGGAAAGAATACCACAACTTGCTTCTATGACAAACAACAGGGTACTATTTGTGTGAAAGGTGTGGCTTGTTTCTCTTGTATCTAATACATCTGTGTTGTGTAATGTAAATGGTGTTCTACTAACTCTGTTAGCTGTTCAATCTGCTACTTGCCGTGTTTTATGCATCTCCTTACCGTAAAAAATCATGGTACTCAAGCAATTGGCTACAAAGATGAGGATGCTGTGCTACTTATCCGAAAAGCGAAAATTGCATAGTTATGTTGTATGTGTTGAAGATCTTACTGTACATGTAAAAGATCGTCAGCTACAGCGGAAGCATTACGAGTCATGAGACTGAAAGCTAAGAAGCAAGAGCTGCCGTTGTATGTCATTTCGATGAAAGCATCTGCAATAAAAATCTGCATTTGCTGCTGTGTAAAAAGGCTAAAAAGGGGCCCTAAGAAGGTAAGATGAGGTTATTACTACTGCTGAGGTTGTTGTGTCTTCCTCTTGAACTTCCTCTGTGCTTTCAGGTCCACCACAATGACTGTTATATTGTCTTTGCTCCCTCTCTGCAGAGCAAGGTTAGACAGAGACTCTGCTGCAGCTTGTGCTGCAGGGTCAGCTCCCGAATCGTCGGACATCATTGTCTGGCCTTGACTATGGCCATCCTGGCCATTGCTTCTTCTTCTGTGCCACATCAGAATCGTTCTCCTCGCAACCTCGCACGCCTCCTCGTTCGTCATCACATCCCACACCCCGTCGCTTGCTAAAATCAGGCACTCGTCTTCTTTCGCTCTCTCCACGATTCTCACTTCTGGGTCTGGGATGATCCACGGCTTCAAGTATCTGTCACCTGCAATCCCCACATCCCATGAGTTTCAAACATCCAGTTTCGTGCCTCGTCGCAGAGAGACACCGACTTTGAGAGTGAAATTACAAACAACTTGCATACCTATGGATCTTGACATTGCAAGAACACCCAGAACTCGAGCTCCGTTCCACTGAATCACCTTGCCTCCTGCACCTTCAATTCTTGCATATTCGTCTTCTCGATCGGGCTGCGACAAACCACAAATAACCATGAATGAACAGATCGATCAATCAATCTGCCCCACTTCACCAGCATTTTCAAGAAGAACCGTGAAGAAGAAAGAGACCCTAAGCTAACATACCTTGTGGTCCACGGACAACGGAACAGCTGCTTTGCCGCGGCAAAGAACTGCCCTGGAGTCGCCACAGTTTGCAACGACGATGTGCGTTCTGCAAACCGTGGCGACAACTGCTGTCGAGCCCACCGTCTCGGGGGCTACCTCAACAGCACCACCACCACCACCACCATCACCACTGATCTCCGCATCCACTCTCAGAAAGCAATTGAAGAAGGCCTTCTTCAACACCTCCTCTCCACTATCCGCTCTGGCGAGCTCCTCGATCTCCTCCGACAGCGCCTCGTGGACTCGCTTCCTGCAGTATTCCGCAACCTGCGAACCACCATGCCCATCATACACACCCAAGAAATGCGCGGTCGAATCGACCCTGCTGCCCAACATCCGAGCTGGGATGCTCATGAACCTCGGAACTACAGCAACTGCATCTTCCATCTCGGGCCTTCTCCCGCAGATTGATGTCATCCCCCACAGCGGTAAGCTGTCCGTCGTCTCGAACACGCGACGACGAATAACACCTCCCTTCATCATCTCCCCTGCTTCCACTGAACCACACTCACTGCTGGTATTGCTACTACCAGTGTTGGTTTGGGGAGGATTGATGGAGTGATAAGAAGTGGAGAGAAAATTAAGATTGCTGGTAGGAGAAGGAATCGGTAACAAGCTTGATCTGTCTGCTGCGAGTGTGATTGGACTGCAGAGCAGGCTGGCTATGTTGAATGGAACCCCGGCTGCTGCAGGGGACATCTCCCCTGTAGTGTTCATTTCTTATCTCCCCCTGTATTCAAAGCAGAAAGGAAGAAGAAGAAGAAGAAGAAGAAGAAGAGGGACTGAATATATGGGAAAGAGAAGGGTCTGGTGGGTTTTTATAATAAACGTCTAAAGTTGGGGAGGAGCTGGAGGTTTCTCAACCTTACGGAAAAGGGCTAGAAACAGAGGACCACAAGATCTCCTTCTCCACCTTCCCTCTCCCTGTGAACTTAACTTCTTTGTGGATAAATGCTAGAGGTTGAAGGAAGTGATGAAAGCAATGGGGAGGGTGGGAAAAGAGGGGAGAAAGAAAACGGGTTGAAGAAGCAACCAGACCAAAGTAATAAAAGAAATAGAAATGGCCAGAAGGGGTTTTTTTTTTTGCCTGAATCAGTGGCAATTCATGTGAGCCTCACGAGAGAAAGGAAAAAAGAACAGAGCTTTGGTAGTTTTCTGTCCCATTGTTGCTTTTTCTTTCAGATGGGTTCCTTTTCCCCTGAACCGAAGAAGGCAGTTGAGGCTGGAGGAGAGGGAAAATGTGAGCGTTGGGCTGGAAACAGAGGTTTTGTTATATAAGAAGAGGAAGGAGGAGGAGGAGGAAGAAGAAGAGCGATGGGGATGATTGAAAGGCGGAAGGAAAGGAAGGGAAAGGAGGCGTGAAGGGAGAAAGGAGGGCACTTGGCACTAGGTCATGGCGGGAGCGAAGGAGATAATGTAGTAAAGAGAAGAGAAGAGAGGAGACTGGTGGATTTACGAAACCAGACGTCTGAAAGACTGAAACTGATGCAGTGATGCTCCTTGTTTTTCCTTTTTCTTTCTTGGGGGATGAATGAGCTTCTTTCTTCTTTCTATTTTATAAATTGTTTTTTATTTATTTGTGGAATAATAAATTGTTGCTGAATTTAGTCAGGAATACGCTTTTTGGAAGGAGGACTTTTTTTTTTTTTAAAGAACTTCGTAGTGCCAACGTTTTAGGGTTCAAAATCAAGACTAAGCAACCTGTGCTAGATGGTAATGCACGGGCGAGTATTTCACTACTCATATTCAGTCTCGTACTAAGTGTGGGCAGTGACGACGAACCCATAATTTTGGAATTGGTGTGTCGGATAATAAAAATTAATTTATTAATATAAAATAAGCGTAAAATATTTGTTCATAGATTTCATTATTTTTTTATAGTGAACCACCACGAGATTTCACATTCTGAAAGATTTCTAATTACATTTGTCCACGTAAAATATGTGTCCATTTATTTATAAATTGGTCACTTATATTATACCAAGGATTGTTCTTATTAAACTCATATATGGAAAATATTATTTTGTAGCTTGCAGTTGCAAGAGGTAAGGTCAACACTAATTTAAAATGAGAGCTGGTATGATAAGCTGGAAGGGTGGGACAGGCGTCAACGTGGAAAGAAATAATTAAAATAGAAATCAAATGAAAGATTAACTTAAGGAAATATATATATTTTTCTAGGTGCAAAAAGAAAAATATATTGAAGAAGCTATGGGGAAAGACAGTCTGGAATTCACTATCTAATTACTTGACTCGATTAGCTTATTAATCAATTTAATTCTCATTCAAATTATCGAGGTTATTTCTAAGATGATAGCTATCTTTCTGAATACTCACTATATATGTACAAACTACTAAGTAGTCAACTAATTATTTATTCTTGTATAACCAACTAATTAAATACCTAATCTGAAGTTTGATAACTCATATATTTACATATGTTAATAACATTATGATAACAAATTTATTGTAATGTAATAAGGTGTGTCAAAGGTCACGTGCTCGAATTTTTTACACCAAAAGAATGCGGGTTCCCCGCAAAAGTTTCGGGTGAAGGTGGGTCCGCCACGGAGTGTGAATCAGGTCGAATAATACATGCGTAGGTATGGGGCGGTTTCAACCTTCATCGATTCTTAAATGTTGTTTGAAACAAATGTGGATATTTAACTTTTATACAAGAGACATAGAAAAGACACTTAAAAAATGAATGAGAAGTGTAGTAGAACGAATATTTGAATTTAAATAATTGAAAGATAGTCTTTAAAAGTTTTTAGGAAGAAAAAATGATTTTAGAAAGGTCAAAAGAGGTTGACTTACATGTAGATGTTGATAGTTGTTGGGTGTATGGCTCGGGTCCAATCGCGCCAAGGAGCCATCGCGGCACCGCCCCAGAAGGGTCAGGCGCGTTAGTGCCAACGCGACCAAAACTGCACCCGCGCGAGAATCTCGAGCGCGGGGAAGCCTACACTCGCGGACAAGAATCCCAGACGCCGAACGACGACGTTTCAACCAAGCGTTGACCAGACCAAGAAACCATGAAAACGACGCCGTATTCCCCGAAGAGTGGTCACATCATAGTCCTAGGTACAATCATGGGCAAATCTCCTAGTCCTAGGTAGAGGTGTGGCCTAAAAGTTCTGACATGTCAGTAGTCATGTCACCATGTAACTCACCCACCACCATGTAGCCTATAAATATGGCATTTACTTCGGTGGGTGAGGGGATCGCATTTTTTACTCTCTCACTCTACTTGCTAAGAGCTTTATCTCTCTAAAAATCTCCTCTTCCCTGAATCCCCCTGTTGTTACTCTTCTCACCCATCTTTCCCCCGAGTCTACCTCCTACTCCCAATTAGAGGTTGACTTACATGTAGATGTTGATAGTCAAGAAGGGGCAGGACGGAGCGGGACATGTTGGAAGCAATACTCATACCCACCACACACTACTGCGAATTGAATAATACCCAAACCAAACAAATCGGATAGTCACACAAATTAGGTCAGAAATTGCCATCACTATCTACAATCTATCATTTCATTCTTTAGGGGGGAAAATGTGAACTCATCAAGACTGTAGCCATGCGATTTGATTTTCCACAAACATCATTTCTTTTCTCCTCTAGCTACCTTGTCTTTAAGCCTTCACTTTATTTCATGACAATACTGTGATTTGATTTACCACAAACATAATTTCTCCTCCATTACCAGTCCTGTAACACCACGTACTCTGTTTTGATAAGAGTAACAGATACAGAGCATATGCTTTATTAGGGGTGGAAATTGGTACGGTATCGGTATCCCAATACCAATTATCGAAATCCCGAATACCGAATTATATCCTAAATTCAATCCCAATCCCAATCCCTAAATAATTTCGGCGTCCCAATCTCAATCCTTAAATATTTTGGTATCCCAATCGGTACTTCGCTATCCCAATCGATATTATCGAATAAGAAATTAATTAGATTTGATTGTTTAATATAGGACAAAGAGACTAAACAAAGAGTCATGAGTTTGGCTAGAGTTAGGATATGGATAAGGAGAATGGAGGAAAGGTGACATCTCAAATTTTTGTTATTGGTAATCTTTAATTTGATGTATTGGATGCTAAGAGAGAACTAATACTAATGTTTTTTTTATGTTATGAAAATAACAATAGATTGGTTGTTGAGGGTCGTGTAGTAGTGAATGAGAAAGTTTAGTTGAGAGCATAAAATACACATTAGCTTATATTTTGGTATTGTTCGGTATTTCGGTACATTACCGATCTCAATCCCGTAATCCCTAATACAGAATAACAATTGAAATTGAATCACAATCACGATCCCAAGAAATAATACGTGTATTCGATAATATCAAATATAGACAAATTCTGTACCGTTTTCGGTATATCCCAAATAACGATACCGAACTTCCAGCCCTACTAATTACTAGGCTGTAGAACAACAAACAAACAACACCTGAGCCCGCCATCTGTAATCCAACAGACTAGAGACAGGTAAAGGTTGGCCATTGGGCTATAGAGAAAGAGAGGAGGAGACGGGGAACATCTCCCCCTACCGCATAGTTTACGCGAATACTACCTGTGACTCTGACCGGCGACAAGCAAATCAATCCACGGGAAGTGATAAAAAAGAAAGGAACACATTAATGTGTCGACCATCGATTTGCACACATTTACACCTTTCAGCTTTTTCTACCTAACTACTGCCTGCCTTTCGTAACAAACGTTTTGCTCTGCTCCATATGTATATAGAAACAGAGCAAGTAATGACCACGCAACCTTCCCAATGCTTCATCACCCGATCTACTAATTGCTTGCTAATCGATCCTTTATAAAGTATTGATTGAAGGATCATACCGTTAGATGGCGACGTGGCATATGATTATGTGTTAGTTTAGTAACCCGGTTTCGGTTTGTTAGGAAATCGAATCAGGTTTGGTTTTGTTAGTTGGCTGGATGGATGGTCGAACCGACTGAATCAATACGTACTTTGGGTCCATTAAATTTGCTAGATGTTGTTCGATGGAGAAACTCCGAGTACTTAAAGTGTTTTATTTGTATAGTTCAGGGTCTTACTTGTAGTATTTTTTTACTTTCAGTATTTAATAGGACTTTTTAGTATTCTCTATACATATTTGTAATATGATGATACGATGCAAATTTTATTTTGGTGAAATAAAATATGTGACTGTCGTCTTTCCCCTTTTGTGCGAATTCCAACTATGTAACATGGTATCAGAGTGGATATTTTCTCATTCTTGATTTTCTTCCATTTCTTTCATTTGCTTTCTCTTTCTTCGAGGTCTTTCTAGACTGATTTGATTTGCTATGATCGTTTTCGATTTAGTTGTTCAATCTTCCGCTTCCACTATCTTTTGTCTGTATGTTAGATTCTCGACGATCGTACGGTTGGATTCTCTTTATTCTTCTTATAGTTTTTTGCCTTTTTCTCAATGAAACACTAAGTTTCTCTTTCATAGCGACTTTCTCGACTATCTCTGCGACGTCTGGTCCGCCTCCCGTCAGTGCAATGTCTGGTTCTCTTTCCCGCCAGCGCGACGTCGGGTTCTCTTCCTGCCGGTGTAAATTTGTCTTCGACGCACTCGTTCTTCATCACTAACGGAGATGTTCCTTCTCTCCAACATGTTATGGTGTCGCTCTCTGGCTCTAACTACCATTCATGGACACTGTCGATGAGGATGAGGCTTCCTGCTCGAAGCAAGCTCTCTCTAATAGATTTCCGTACTCTAGTTCCAACACCTAAAGATCCTCTGTCGAATGCCCGGGATAAGGCGAATGTACTTGTTCTCGGCTGGATCCAGGGATTCATTTCTTCAGAAATAGCACAAACTGTGCTCTGGTTCAACATTGTCGTCGAGGCTTGGAAAGATCTACTAGAGAGATTCATGAAGGCAATGATGACACTCAATTTATAGTGTTTATCACTCCCATATTTGATACATTTTCTCTTCTATTAATGCATCTTTAGTGATTTGGAATGTATTTCATATGGAATTCATAACTATTTTGAGTTTTGTGCTTATGATAGACCTTGAGTGTGTTTTTGTACTATTTGATGCCTTTTAGGTGTTGTTTTGTGCTTTTTAACGATATAAACCACTTAAGACAAATGTGGATCACCAAGGAAACCAATGGACCAGATGATAGTATTTTGAAGAACAGAAGAGTCAAACGGAGTCCAAATGAGTTGAAATATGAGGAACAGGTCCATGCGCCCAAGAGGGAGTAGCCCACCAAAATGGGCCCATTTGATAAGAACATAGAGTGGTAGGTCCAACCGCCATGGCATTGCTACCAACCCTAAAGTCTTCAGGAAACTTCCTTTACAAGTAATTTCGTCCACAAGTTGAAGGAATTTGAGTTCAAGTCGGACAAGGACGATTTTTTCCGAATTTAGGAGGAAAAAGACTAGAAAGCCTCCTTTTGTAACTAGTATAAATAGAGGCACATGTCTAGACTTTTAGACACACCTTTCACTAGCACTCTGCCCCACTGGGCATGAGTTAAAATCCATATAGATGAGGTGAAGCCCTGCTGGAGCTCGACTAGGGATGATCCACCATAGATGTTCTTCATTATTGGTGACGTCGTTCTATTCTCTCTTGTATTGTTAATTCGATCTATTTTGGGATGCAATTCAATGGTGCTTGTGTATTACATTCTATGATTTAATAAAATACCTATTGTGTTCAATGATCTTATGATTCTTATCATCGATGTTTGATGTTAATATATGCTTGTATCATCTATTGCTAGAGTTATTCGATGCTATGATTACTAGATGCTTTAGTTAACCGATGCTTATGATTTTATTATGAATGCTACTATAGTATCTTGTTTATAATACTATTTTGCGAACAAAATGAAACTAATCTCATGTAGTAGGCATCTTCATTAGCCATGTGTAAAATAAAAGTACACCTTTCTACGCATGACTAATTGCCACTGAAACATGCTCTCCAGTAATTCATAGACTGGGTAAGAAAACTCGCCTGGAAAGACAATCTCAAAGGCTGTAAGCTTTCTTCAAATGAATTAGATTAACCTTGATCTCACTTAATACTAGCTTGTCTACGAACCCTGTAACCAACCTGCTCTTTTATCCTAAAATCTCTGGTCGAGGATGATTGATTCTTAGATCATTGATGCTATAGACTAGAGTTATGGTTTGTAGAAGCCCATAATTAACCATATGCTATCATAACGTCCTTGTTCTTTATTGATTAGGCGATGGCATGAAGTGAAAATACGATAGGTTGGTTTGGAGTAGTTATTATCAAAAGACCTCGTGGAATATGACCCTAGGTTATCCTAAAATTTATCGGCCGATACTACATCATGTTTTTGGCGCTGTTGCCGGGAATTTTTTATAGTATTTGAAAGAAACTAACCTCTTATGTTTTATTTTCATTTCATAAAAGAAACCCATTAGACTCTAGCTGGTTTTGCTTTGCAGGAATCATACTCGAGGAAGCCATCCAAGGATGTGATACCAAAAAGAAGGAAGCAAGATGGACCAAGGAGGATCAAAGGTCGAAGCAAGCAACACCTAACCTCCATTATGTCGCCCTCCAAATAAGATCCATATCGATTGGGGTGATGATAAAGGAGATCCAGTAGACTTAACGATAGTGAGGGAAACATATGGAGACTACGTAACTGTAGAGGAATGGGAGCAAGCTTATGCTTTCCTCCATTCAAGACACCAAATCAAGTCAAGACCTACTAGGAGCATCAATACTAACATCACAAAAGAAGGGATCGGACAAGTGCTAGAAGATGTCAATATCATCAAGGAGCCTCCACAAGCCAATAAAGGAAGTTCCAATGAAGTGCGTGAAGGTTTTGAACTGATCAAGGTACAAGTAGGGCTTACGGAGCATCAAATTTTTTTGGAGCATAAAGGGATGGAAGATCATCTCAATGCTAACAAAGAAGAAGATGAAGAGATCATGTACCATGGAGATGAGGATTATATTGAAGCCAATGAACTTAATGGAGAAGAATACGAGTGTTTGACTCAATCTTTAGAAAAACATGGCAATAGACCCCTAAAGGAGATACAATGGACTTATAAAGCTACTCACGTCTTGATGAAAACATCATACAAGCCATGGAGACCATGATCAAGCATCTTCAACATATCTAAGAAGAGAAGATTGATCAACCTATCAAAGAACCTCACGAAGAAGAAGATCTTAAGGAGATCAATGAGATTTGTTATAACATCTCGTTCCGGCAAAACCCATATTTCGATCGCTAGAAAGTTCGCGATTTAAAATCGAGCGTTTTGATAGTATTTCGACGAAAATCGGATTATCGATCGATCGGATAAGTATACGTATTAATTAATTAATTAATTAATTATATATATATATATATTAATAAGCAGCCATATATAAGTTACCCGTCCATTTCCATCCCATCACATTCCAATTCTTCTTCTTTCTTTTCCGGCCCAGAGAAACCGAGAGTACAGGGCGGCGCGTCAGAGGAGACAGAGCATGAAATTCTCCGAGCTTGATTCTTGAGCTACAGTGATCCAAAAATCCAGTAAGTAATGTCTAATCCATCCATACATCATGATTTATCGATTTGGAGCTTTAAAATGAGTTTTTGGATCAGGAATTTCTTGAATTCCCGATAAGCCAAATTAGGGTTTCGGAGTATCCGGAAGCCGGATTGAGCCCAAATTTCATATACGAGCTTCCTGCGGCGAGGTAATCAATCCTCTAGTTCTAATCCCTGAATTTAGGCAATTATTTAGGCCGGGGTCCAAACCGCTGAATTTAGCTCCGGCCAGGGTTTGATGTGTTTTTATCAAGAATTTGACCCGGAGCCTAGAACTAATATTGACGGGGATACTGCAGGGGATATTAGGACGGTCTCGGATTTTAATTCGGGGTTCGTTCGAGAAATTGACGTTTTAGTACGGGGAAGCTTAAACCGGTGTTTGAACGACCAGAACTGGTGAGGGATTAGCACGACATACCGGGTTTGTCGTATCACGATAATTATATTGATGCTTAGAATTGATCTAGGTGAACTAGAATGGCATGATTAGGGGTGTATGAACTTTTGTGCTATATGTTGAACCCTGGATTGCTGTATGATATTATTGACTTGCCCTAATCGATATGAATCTTGTTTATGCTGATGATTGTGTATATGTTGCAAATTGTGGGCTGGACTGTTAATATGCTTTACGATGGTTCGAGAAGGTGATTAGGTATGACTTTTCATGATTGTTGTATTTGGATGCACAAGTGGGAAAATATATATTCCCTGGTGATATTATGATGTTTTAAGGAGGATGACTTGCACGAGGGTTTATCCCGAGGAAGTGCAACTATACGACTCCTGGTTTACCTATATTGAGCCAATTATGGTCAGGGCAAGTACATGTGCAAGTAACGAATTATGATTAAGCAAGATGAGATATGAATCATGTATAAGGATACCAAATATGAGTGTTGTGGTCTCACGGTCAACTACATAGTAATTAGGGCTCCCTATGCTATTACTCTATTATGATATGTATGATAGTCACGCCTCTCATGTGGTGGTGACTGAAGAATTCTTACGAGATATGACCACACCCAGAGCGGTGTCGGGGTATGAGTACACCCATAGTGGTGTGGAGTATGTATGACCACATCCGACGGGATGTTGGGGTATGTATGACTACATCCGACGGGATGTGGGGTATGTTTCCCAGGAGAGTTATTAGCATGAGAGTAGCCAGACGCCTATGATTAAAACATGATAAGATGCATATGCATAAGTCAAGGTGGTTGAGTCCTTTGCCTATTGGGATATGAGGATGGCCGAGGTCCGATCCTAGTGTTTTGGCTTGATTGTTAGATGTATGATAGGGGTATGCTCTGTTATGAACTCACGATGCTATGATTATCTCACTCAGCTTTGAGCTGACCCTCTTTATCCTTTTTCTCTGCTTATGCCATGTGTAAGCAGATCATCATCATCAGCAGTAGTAGATAGGTGTATAGGTGGGAGCTGAGCAAGAGTTGAAGGCAAGATGAGGTATGGTCTTCAACTATTCTGTGCTTGGACTACTACTCGGGATTTTGGCCAGTGATCCACACCTTTTTGTAAAAATGTTTTGATAACGTTTTTCATGTGCATACTAGCTTCTGATGTAGTGTTAGATATCCACAGGTGTGGAAAGTTAATGATATGTGTATATTTATGTGGTTGTGTAAGTTATGCGACTATGGCTTGTATCAGTATGGTATGAATTTGTGTAGTATGAAACTGTGACTATGGCTAAGAAAAGCCAATGCATATGGTTGTGAGTATATATGTTTGTGATGAGTTATTTTGCAGGATAAGTTGCAAGAACTGTTAGCCCATTACGCGAGTAATTCATGTCGAAATTTTATTTAGGTAAATTTTGGTAATTAATGTAACACCCGAGATTATTTTCGCTGCAAATGTATGAATAATATGATTAGGTAATACGCATAGGGCAGGGTGTTACATTTGTGATAAAGAAGATGATCTAACAACTTCTGAAGAAGACGAGGATGAGATACAACTACTAGGAGTAGAAATTGAAGAAGAAGGATGCAACATTGAACTTACACTCATCCAAACCTTTTTGGGTTCGTGATAAGAGGTCGAATTTTTTAACCACTTGACAGCTTTGAATACTTCCTACATCTTCTCCAATCTGAATCAAGGAGTACACCACCTACCAAGGCATCCACCATTGGGAAAACCCAGGAGGAAGAGCTCAAGTGTAATGATCCCATGCACCTCTGATTCAAAGTTCAACAAAACCTTTTAAACCGAGCATTGAAGAAGAGTGGAAGAGAATTCAAACAAGGATGGTCAACCTCATATGTAGAAACTAGGAAAGGAGCCACTAGAGGAGCAACCATCTCAATCAATTTAACCAAAGGAGGAGCTTCAAGAGGAGCCACCTATCATGAATGCTGATGATCAGACCAACACGGAGTCCAACTTAGAAGAAGAGCAAGATGCCCTCACCTTCAAAGAGATCGTGGAGGAGTTCATCAATGAAAATATATCATCTACCTGAATGGAGGAAACTTCAAGCCACACCTATCAAGAGTTCAACTTGATTTGGGAGGAGAAAACTGACGAAGACTGCAGCTTCAATCTTGGAGAAGAAGAAAAATTCTACATCACCCTCTACAACAAATGAAGAAGCGCAAGGAGTAGCCATTCCACCTACTCCAAGAAATGAAGCTCTATGCATAGAATAACCAAAATTTTGAGAGGATGAACCCATTCAAGATCCCCTTATATCACCTTCTCAAGGATCTGCACAAACTTTGGAAAACAAGAACCTTGAAGAATAAGGGTTGAGTAAGAAGATTTCACCATTCACAAGGACATTCTTGGTAAAAATATGGAGGATGTTGTTCCTAAAGTTGGAGACCATGAAGAAAATTTTGAAGACAAGGTGGAGATACATCAATGAGTCAAACTAGATCTCAATAGACTACTTGATGAAGATCCATTTTCAGCATTTCTGGAAAGCAACCACGAGACCATAGCTTCATATCTAACCCAAAGAGGGGAATACATGAATCCCTTATTGTTGTGTCGCCACCTCTACCACAATGCCAAAAATTAAAATTTTAAATTGTGGGGTAAAAGGTGCAAGGTGGAGACTAAGGTGGCTTATGCTTCATGGTCCACTTTCAAGCCAAAAGAAGAAGGATGTACACACTTGCAGCTTGTAGTCAAAACAACGGATTTCAAGAAAGAATTAAGTTTGGGTCCTTGAGGGATGAAGAGCTATGCCTAGCTCGAAGGCATAAAAGAAAGAGTGTTTCATGGGAGGCAACCCATGTCTGGCATCCAACTTAATGATGTAAAATAAAACTGCTATCATGAAGACAACCCGAATTTTTCAAGGAAGCTCAATTCCAAGGAGATTTTTCTAGGAAGGAGAATTTGTGAAGACCCATCTTTGTAAGATGGTGGAAAAAAGAGAAGGATCATCAATGCAAGGAAGCAAGAGGGAGAAAGCCATTCAAGGAGATATGGAGACAAAGTCAATGGAGCCTGCTCAAGCCCTCACAATGGAGGCATCTCAAGCCAAGAAGGAGAACAAAGTTGATGAAATAACCTTTAAGGAGATAGCCATCCATGAATAAGCCTCTCAATTCCCCTCAATGGTGAAGAAGATGATAGAAGCTTTGGGAGGAGAAGAGAGTGTTGTACCACTATTGGAGAGCATCATTGATATGAAGAACCCAAAGGAGAAGCTCGAGCAACTTCCGGAGAAGGAGAAGATTGAGAAGACTAGCATCAACTCAACCCCTTATGGACGTAAAAACTCATTAGTGTGTATGAAGAGAAGGAGGATCCTAGTCATTGCACGATCAACTGTCTCCTAGATGACCATTACGTAGAGCAAGGTTTGGTAGAACTTTGCTCTAGTGTCAACATCCTACAACTTCCTCTCTACCAAGATATGGATCTTGCTGACAAGGAAGATATATATAGAGAGAGATCAAGATGGCGGATAACACCCCATGTCAACATCTTGGAGTAGTTCAAGAAGTAAGCACCCAAATTGGACCTTTCATCTTCTTTCTAAACTATGTGGTGATTAAGATGAAGATAGAGGGGTATTCCTTGATCTTTGGAAGACCATTTCTGACCACTTTTCATGCTGTGAGATCACCCCATATGTAGGAGAGATCGTGCATCGAGTAGCGGGGTCTATTGAAGACAATGAGGAAGAGAAGACCATTGAAGATGATGATTTAAAGGAGAATGAAGAGATGGAGCCAGCGATAGAGATCAAGACTCGATCAAGATCTCTATATGAGGATTTCTTACATACAACATATCATCACTACGATGAGGATTTGGAATGGGGAGAAAAGTTGAAAGAAGCTCAGCCAACTCCTGATTTGAAGCTAACACAAATGGCATTCAAGATAGTTAGTACAATGTCAAAGATGATAATTTTGAGGAGAATGAAGAGATGGAGCCAGAGATAGAGATCAAGGCTCAATCAAGATCTCTATATGAGGATTTCTTACATACAACCTATCATCACTACGATGAGGACCTGGAATGGGGAGACAAGTTGAAAGAAGCTCAACCAACTCCAAATTTGAAGCTAGCACAAATGACACTCAAGATAGTCAGTACAATGTCAAAGATGTTGCTAGATAAGACTAAAGAGCTGGAGTATGAAGCATCAAAGGACTTTTAAGATTTCATACACCAAATTGGATTCACTCCACGTCCTTTTGGAGTCTACCACGATCATAACGACTGGATGGAAGATGAAGAGACATTAGAACTTGATTAGCCATGCGATGAGGGCATGTTCTTCGATTGGAAGTAAGATCTATCCCTTGTTTTTCTTTGGAGGATTTAAAGCACTTGCCCTCTCCTTTTTTTTCTTTTGTTTGTTGTAGAATCTTCCTAAATATGATAAGTGTTGCCTATGCCTCTATTTTCGAAACTTGTACAATCAAGTTAGGTACCTTGTTTTCAAACTTTACCATAGCTCACTATCTTTTAGTCCATTGAGGACAATGTCCATTTTTGAATTGGGTGATACTTGTTACTTGACTATGCTTGATGCATGACATATTTGTAGTCATTCATAGTGGATGATACATAGATGCATCTTATTAATGAGATTGTATGCATGATTATCTAGAATGAGATACCTAAACATTACTTTCTCTTGCTTGCTTTTTTGTTTCTTTCTTGCATTGGTATATGACACAAAATGAAGGGCACCTCAACCCACTAGTTTACTTTTCCTTGAATTGCATACTCGATACATTAAGTTAGATTGGAGTAGTTATTATACCAGTGACACACAATGCTCACTTCTCACAACAACAAACAAGCTAAGCTTGATCGTTGCTCAACGCCGCAAACCATCAACTAGTTCGCTGGTCTATCAATTGAACCACACCAAACTCAAGTAGTTGGACAAGTGCGGATTTAGGGCTGGGCCACCCCGGGCCCAAGCCCAGCCCTCCTCCGGGTTTAGAGCTAGTATAGTACTTGTGATTTTCTCAAATTTAGGTATTCAGTCCATTATTATTTAAAAGTACGCCATTGTTATTTAATAATAAGATTTTGTGTAACTAGATCAATGGTCTAGATGAACATATCCAAACCTCAAAGTCTAAAATGTAAAAAACCAAAAGTATAAAGTTTTATTAAAATAAAATAAAAAACCTATAGACTAAAGCTCACCCTTCCCTGTCAAACCTAAATTAAAGTTCCCCCAATCCTCCCAAAACAAGAACGAGAAGACGAGCGAATCCGAAACGAAAATGTGAAAACTGATACACGCAACAAAATGAGCGACAACATTCTCTTGGATTGCTTACCTAATTTCTTCGAGAGAGAGAGAGAGAGAGAGAGAGAGAGTACTATTGGTATTAGGGATGGATTTTCGGTTAGTTCGGTTATAACCGATAACCGAAGTGTCTGTTACCGGTTAACCGTGGAAGCAGCCGTGCCTACCGCCAACCGCCCGAAGGAGAGCTTCGGTTAGCCGGCAACTGACCGATCGGTTATCGGTTAGTTGCTCGATTAACCGAGCTAACCGCGACATACAATAAAAATCGGCGAGGATGGCGGAGATTGACGTCGGGAAGGCGGCAGGGAGATGGTGGCGTCGGCGGCAGGGAGAGAGTGAGGGAGAGGGCCGGCGGCGGCAGGGGCAGGCGCAGCGGCAGGGAAAGTGAGGGCGGCGGATCGAGCCCCAACCCATAGTCTATCATCGCCGCATCAGCAGATGGCGGCGGCAGATCTGGTGTCGAAGATGAAGAAGACCCTCGATGCCCAACTGATGATGACGATTTGTGACGGGGATTGGCGACGGAGATGATGATGCAGATTGAGCCCCAATTCAATTCCTATCGCCTCCGCTTCGAAACCAAATCTTCCTTTCGCCTGCTCCCTCTCTCCCCTTCATTTTCCCCAATCGGCTGCTGCTTCTGCTTTCCATGCTCTGCAAAGAGCAGTCAGCTTGTCGTCGATTCGTCAGGGAAGCGAGAGGGAGATGGCAGAGACTGGCGTCGGGGAGGCGGGAGGGCGATGGTGGCGTCGGCGGCAGGGAGAGAGTGAGGGAGAGAGCCGGCGACGGCGCGCAGCAGGGAGAGAGTGAGGGGCAGGCGCGGCGGTGGGGAGAGTGAGGGCGGCGCCGCGGCGGCAGGGAGAGGGAGAGGAAGAGTGAATCGCGTTGGTGGAAGCCTGGAATGGAGAGTGGAAGCCTGAATCGCGATGGTTAGGGTAGAAGACAGACACAGATACGGCGGCGTTTTAAGAGGGGAGGATGCGCCGGTTAGTCGGTTTAACCGGCGGTTATTTATACCGGTTAGCCGGTTAACCGGCCTCCTCAACCCTTCTACCGCCAACCGCCCGCGCCCTTTGTTTTTCGGTTACCGGTTAATCGGTAACCGCAGGTTATCGGTGTAACCGGCCGGTTAACCGACAACCGATAACCGAATGGCCAACCCTAATTGGTATGTATGAAAATTCTATTATTGATGGATTTGCTAAATTAAAATATTTTCTTGTACAATTCGCATTATAATGAAAATTATAAATATTATATATTTTTGTTTATAATATGTAATATTCTATTAAAATACGGCCCAATGCTGACATCTCCCGCTGAGTTGGGCTTTTTTTTTTAACGTTTGGTGTTTTGGGCAAAGCAAACAAAATGTAGAAACAAGGAATGATCATACCATGGATTTGGTTTGGCCGTTGGGACAGAAATGGGAGGTACTGGAGTGAGAGTGACGATTGACAACAAATAGTAAATAATATTTTATTAATACAAGTATCTTGTTCAGTAGTCAGTCCCACACCAGCAGCATATTTATTTAGGGAGGAGGGAGGGACTCCAGATTCATGCATTTTTCAGATTTTCTTCATAAAATATGTCTTTTTTCTGGGAGTTGATGCCACATTCATTAAAAAAGGCATAGGGGGAATTTCCTTCGTTTTCTCATCTTACTGAGATGTACTGACACATACATTTTGAGTTTCTCAGTCTGTTTCCCTCTTCTTTATTACAAGTTTTTTTTATAGAAAATGTAAAGTTAAAAGGATAATTTTATTCCATATTTTTATTAATTTGTGAATATTCGCTTCAATTTTATAAAAAAAAAACACGATCAGTAGTCAATCGACTTTACGTTGTCTACTACCGATTAGAAGTGTAATTTTTAATTTGAATTAAAAAAATGTGGTTTCTTTTGTGAGATGGTTGGAATGATTTATTAGATATTTTGGTGATGATATGAATTTGAACTTGTTTATGGTCATTGATAATTTCATTCTTAAATTAGTGTAATATACAAGTCTTATATGTTATATATCATGAACGGTTCTATCAACGGTTCACCAACGATTTTGTAACCTTTAACCGCTGAACCCTAAACCACTAATGTTTCCGGTCCAGCCTCCGGTCCGGTTATGAAAACAGATGTTTTTTGTCAATAAGAAATGAATACTCTGAAAATGTAAGATAGTTCGTCACAAAGTTGGACTCTTAGAAAAATATGTTCGACCTAAACCATCCAAATCAATTAGCGTTGATGACGAATCTTGACAATCCAATCCATAATGTTGGTGTTTGTGTGTGGTGGTGGTTTCTATAAGGTGATTTTCCTATTATTAGTTTTGTTGTTTCTTTGGCAGCTCTTCCTTTCTGCCCAAAAATAATCAATACATAATTCTTTCTTCAAATCTTGCTCTAAACTTTTGTGCCCATTGCTCTGTTCCGCACGCCCTATTCTAGTCGCAAGTTCATTCATCTCCCTAAAATATATATATAAAAACATAGCTTGCAGCACACTCTCCTAACAATTTAATGCTATCCAGATACTTATTTTTATGATGTTCCCAACACTTAAAAAAATATAATATTTTTTTGCTAGCATAGAAATGTTTTTATTTGTGTCAGGTAGGGAAGGCAATGGGTCGGGTCGGGGACGGATAGTGCATATCCGTTACTTTGGATGGGCTGCTCTACTAGCCGCGCCGATGGGAAACTGGCCTGGCCTGCCTTTTCTGGGAGTTTGCTTGTAATTCACGGTAACTCACACAACTCTCAAGCTCAGTCAGCATGAACTTCCAATGGAGACTGAATTAGCAGATCGAAACTTCCAATTGAGACTGACCTCGATGATCGAAAAGGTCGAGTAAAATAGCTGAACTTCGACAGCGAAAGGTAGAAGATGGAATCAAACACCCTGCATATGTGAGAATAACAACTGAATTCAGAGACCTGCATTAGCCAACATGTATTATCAAGTAAGAACCAACCAAATAAAAGCTACAACTCCAGTAGAATCCCTATATGGATAATAAACCAAACTCAGAAAGATACCAGAGAATAGGAGGGAAATAAAGCTCTTGCATTAATTAAACAAAGACTTGTAGCTGCTTCAATTAAACCAGCACCCACAAAATTCAACCCAGATCTTCTCACCTCAGACTATTATATTGCATCAGCTAAGTAATGTGGAAACAGGACACCCAGCATAACCAACCATTGGATGCATACAAGCTCACACAAGCAAGCAGCCAGATTCACAAAACATCTAGAACATAATAAATGGCCTTCGATATGGATGTTCCTGTATTAGTCGATTTCATTTTCAACCCTCCCCAGAAAAGAGTGATTTCAAGAGCCGAAACTAAAACCGACCAACCACGTCTACGAGCCACATGAGCAGGCACCATACCGAGGCAGGAGACAAATTCTGAATGAACATGTATTATGACCTACCTCAACGCACAAATAAGCACACAGACCACAAGAATAATATTATATCTGCAATCCACAATGTGATGCATGATTCACTTGGTGGTTCGAACAGGCGTTCCAGGTCCAAGGTAGAGACCAGTAACGAACATAATTCCCTTCCAATATTATCATAAGCATTAGTCAGAAACACACATTGCTTGTCAGTTACAAGATAGGCACAATGGCGCGACAAATTAGCTTACCCAGATTCTGCAGGCACGAAACATGATTTGACCAAACTTGGGCATCTCCTGGATAATTGAAATCTGCAAGCAAGAACTAACAAAGAACTATTGGAAGAAAATAATGCGAGAACAATGTTACTATGAATAAAGAGAGACAGGAAAGATCTTACCATAGCCTGGTAGATTACTATGTAAGCAAGACGAAACCCTATAAAATCTGAAGTATGCAGCAACCAAAATCTTAAATCTTTCAATGCTACCTTACTGACAGGGGGATATTATACATAGAGTGCCCCGCAACCCAATCCATGCTGGTATAAGAAATTAATGAAATCTTACAGAAGTATAATCTACCACAAAAATGATCATCTGAAAAATCGTAATGGCAATTCCAAAATCAGTTAGTAACCAAGAAACAAATTGAACAGAATGAAAAGCTCATCTTATTAGAAAAACAAAAGGTATGTACAATGAACTGTTCTCTGATTTGCAGAAGCTACAACCAGGATACAGTGTTGTTGCTCAGACGTAAACACCGAGACATACTAACTTGAACATTGAACAGATATCTTTACAGTCGAAGTCACTAACTTGATACAGAAACGTAAAAAAGGTCCGGAAATTCATTTGAAAATCTTGTGAACCCTACAAAAGAATCTATATAACCTAACTGTGGACCAGCAGCAAAATGACCATACAAGTAAGTGGTCACCTCTCTTTTATAACATCGCTTATGTTTGTTTGTCAATAGTATAATGAACAAGACTATACAGAAGAAAGACTTCAAACCATCATATTCAAGTCCGAAAGGTCATCCATGGGGATCTCAAGACCCATGAAATCAAGGTCTTGCAACCCATCATCGTCAATATTCAACCATGAACCTAGATCCTGTCCTTGGCCATCATCATCGATTCCTGGTAACATATTGGATAAATCAAGAGAATCAGGGTCGTCAAGTTCATCCAAACCAAACCCATCTTTTTCTTTGGCATTGCTGCCAGTTGGATGAGTCGGCTTAGACTCGGAGGGCAATGTTGGTTTGGGCTGTTCTGTCTTGCCCAGAAGGCCATTCACCGAAACAGATAATTGAGTTGTTTTCTGCTTCGGCTTTGCTTTAGATTTCCTTTCTCCTCTGGAGTTTGAAAGAGCTGGTCGGCCACTTCTATTTGTTCCGTTCCTAGATGATATCTCTCTGTTGTGTACCTTTCCCTCCCTGTCTCTCTCACTCCTCTTTCCTTTAGTACTGCTTGATAACGATCCTTCAATCCCTGACGAGGTACCAGTAGTACCACCACCAACATCTTCAAGCAACAACTCCCTCTTCTTCACCCTATTTGACCATGTTTCTTCTTTACCAGATCCACGATGTACAGGTGGAAGCATGTCAGAGTGATTAGCAACAAAGACATCCCCATTCTGACCAAGTCGAGGAGTTTGAGGACTTAGCTGTGATACAGTGGTAGCTGCAAAGAAGATGGAAAAAGAACAGTCCAACTTCCGCCAGATGTCGAGAAAAAGCAAAAAAACACATGGGAAGACCAGAGAAATGCATCTGGTAGCAGTTGAAAACCATAAAAATGATCAAGCAAAACCGAAGTATCACAACAGTACCTGAAACTAATCGGCTTGGGGCCGCAACAAATGGTTTTGCAGGTTCGCCATCCACAGTGTTCACCATTTGTGGACCATTGACTTGTGAAGGTGCAGAGAGGAATAGTTCTTTAAACATGGGTTCACTGAAGCAGCCCTTACCCGTATCTTCATAATTATAGCACCTCTCCAGTGTACGCTTAATAAATGCTAAGGTGGCTTGCTTGGCCATTTTGTTGTTGGAATTCTTCCCGCCAGCGGGACCACAACAAGCCTATTCAAGAAAGCAGCATAGTTCAATCTTACTGAGAATATTGCAAAATGAACATAAAAGACACAATGGCAGCCTCCACCAGGCACCAATACACAAAGATATGTCAGAATAAGTACAAATACATCCAGTTGAAAGATTTAAACTAATGATCGATCCTATCAGCATCGTGTAAATTAAACAATACTGGAAAGAACATAAAAAGATGTTGCTATGCGGTAAAATGTGGAGTTAAAACTGGAACCAGAAGCTAATGCAGCCAGCAATTTATGCCAGTTAAAGCAAGATTCTGAATATCGGCAGTTTCGAGCTAAGCAGCAAGAGTTGGGACTACAAATAATAATTGCCCTATATCCCTCCGCACATTATTCTCTATCCATCGATCTTGCTTTAGAAAGTACAATTAGCTTCTTTTGCTGTTCCTAGTTCAAAATCATGCCCTCATAGCAAATGAAGGATGGTGTTCACCTGGAGTATCCTATTTAGCATACCAGATTAACAGTAGTAACAAGTGACTTAACATACACAGAGGTTAGGTGTGGACTTACCATGTATTTGTAGTAAGCCATTGTAGTGAGCTTGTCATAAGCACGTTGCTCAAATTCCCTAATAGACATATTGCACATTGAGTCATGATAAGGAAACAGCAAAAGCCGAAAAGGAACAAAATGTGCTTCATTTGCCCAGTAAAGATGAATCCTTACTTCTCTTGAATTTCTTTTGTATTCATGGCATCTTTCAACAAATGATCAAGCAAACCTCTCTTCTTCAAGACCTATTGCCGCAATAGCCAAAGTTAGAGACATATGATCATCAAGGACCTTCAAAATGTGAGAAGTGAATAGTACTGCATGAACACAAAAATGATTTGACCAACTTCTGATCTGTGATCAACACAGCGCACCACACACCCAAAAAAAAAAAAAAACTACCAACATACATTGGAGGGCTGGTGAATTAATAGATGCATGTATACTTATAAGTACAGTTGAAGAGGTAAGCTACCTCGCCTGATATGGGAGCCTAGACAATGTTCTAAAAAATACCTGTTCGGCATGCTTATCCTCCAACTCACAGATGTCCACAGTGATCCCTTGATCGTCTGTATGCATGCTGGGCTGCAATGAAAGAAATGGAATGCAACAGGAGAGCACTTATTAGTAACAAGGACACAAACAAGCTCTATATTCAGCCTAAACGCACATCACAGGTACTAAATCACAAAGTATCCCAAAAAAACACTAACTGACAAACAATAAAATAATGACATCAATGAAACCAAACACTATAAAAAAAAATCTGTATTAGAAACCTACCACTGATTCTGGAAATATCCCAATGCTTTGAACCTCCAGAAGCAGCTTTTCATTTAACCGCATGTTATCGAACTGGAGTTCTGAAGCTGCTATAGGTATTGGTGTCTGATCAGAAAATACACCATTTGCGGCATGAATGGAGTTTGAATAAGTACCTTCCTTTGGGATACCCAATACATTAATTTCTGAAGAATCACGTCCTGGCTTTACTGTCACTTTGTACTCATTAAATATAGCTTGCGAAGATGCCTGGAAAATATCAAGGTGATCCAATCCACTTAAACCCAGCACCCGATCTGGTTCAAATCCGGTTGCATATGCACCAAACTCATTGTCCTCATCTTCAAGGCAACAATCATCCTCTGAGATTATAGCTGCTAAAAGCATCTGGCAGAGAGAACTATCCCCTGCACTAGGCACATACTCTCTTGATTGAAGTTCAAATCCAGTAGTTTCAACGGTACACCCAACTTCTCCCCCTTGTTCAATTAATCTATATCCATTAGAGATGTTACTGCATATGTGGGCAACAGAGGAAAACGGCGCTGGCGACACAATAGGATCCAGATTTACCTGCCAATAAACAAATGATTGAACACATTACAACAAGGAAAGCTAGTTTCAGAATTGATAATGCTTTTATAGATGACCCAAAACAATGTTGCTTACCTGCTGTTTCAAATAATCAAGGTCGACATCAGCTATGCAGCCAAAGAATTGTTCCATTTGCCTCCAAAATGAACTAGACAGCACTTGA